CTGTACAAAGAGATTAGAGATAGATGTAGATGTTAATGTATTTTAAATGGTATCCGATAATTGCTGACTATTACTCTACACTAAAGCAATTTAATTTAACGAATTGACTAGAATATTTTTTTTAATGTATTGAATGTGAATTTTACTGTATTTTGCAGTTCGTGTTTGTCAGAAGTTGTTAAATTCCCACCTGTCATAAAACTGTAATAAAATTTGTAACACTTCAAAAATATTTCTATCTGTAAACTCTTAAAGTGAATTTTCTCTGTTTGAAATTTCATTTTTTTTTAACATGACTGTGTTAATCCAATCTTGAATTATAAATGTATCAAAAGTCCACAAGATCTATTTTGTTTACATTTAAAGCATTTTGAGAAGATACTCAATGCTGGAGATTTTTGTACCCACATGACATAAATTGTATTATATAGAGGAACAGTTCTGGAAATTAATTTAAGAGATCTCATTTTTTCGATTGAATTGAAAAGTTTATTGATCTGGAATTGGATGAAATTGATTTTATCATGTAAAATGTAATGTTACATTTAATGTTACATTTAATATAATTGATATTGGGGTTAGATACAATATATATCTATAGGATGATGAAATCAAATTGTTTGTGTGGGCACATTGAAATTTAATGCCAAACTTTTTTTATAAGGTGTTTTTTTTCTGTTATTTATAAGGGTATGGATGGGCTTTTTTTTGGACCCTGGGATCATTGTGAAATTCTGTTATATTACTTGTCATTTGGTGCCACAACAAATACTATATCAAAGGACAATTCTAAAATTCTTGGAATAAGACAAACGAAGACTGTCAGTAGCTTTTATTAGATTTCAGAAAGAAAAGACATTAATTTAGTTTGGTCCAGTGGAATTATTATCTGTTAATGGAAATCATATAATTCAGGACATAAGGTATATTGGTGTTTTTGTATGCACGTACGTATATTTAGGTTGAGAAGTTGGGGATGACACAGGACTGAATGTTTGACTGATTCATATGAGCATTGTCTGTTGTATTTGGCATTAGCTTAGTATGGTATTATGGCGTGAAAGTCCACACCAGGCTGACTCAGTGACTTGTATGATCTTAACTTCCAACTTTTTATGGCGTAGAAAATATGAATCTGTCCCTTTAAAGCCCAACATTTGGTGAACTATTAATGTAATGATGTACAAGTGTGTCTGAACTGTTTAACACTGAGATGAAGAAAAAACTCCACTTATTGATTTTTTGTTGAAGAAACTCTTAGATATCTGAAAGTTCACAGGAAAATACAGAAAAATTGTCATTAAGTTTGAAATGTCATTATTTTTAATGCAAGGAACTGTCAATTCTTGAAGATGATATTAGGAGTTGAAATGAAATGATTGAAAATAGAAACAGATCAAAGGTTTAAATGAGTTTGAAATTTATTTTTTCTGAAAATATTCTAAGAAATATGGTCTGAAGGGGTCAAAAATAAAAGAAAATTAATTTTTACATCAAGATCAAAGTATTTGACAAATTCAATTCAAAGATGAGAATATCAGCTTTCCCTGGTTCTCAATCATTCAAACTGTTTTTACCTGAAGCCATTTGGGCACTCTCTCTTCCATCATAAGGAGTCCATATTCCAACAGAATTCAATGAATTATTTGCCTTGCAATAAATGATCAGATGCTCTCAGATACTCCCTGAGTAAGAGAAGAATATTTACTGTAGATTTTTAGGGTGATCTCTTGTTGATTGTCCTTTATATTCAGCTAAAGTTTCTAATTTATAGAACATTCATAGAAATAAAGCTCTATATGTATAGAATCAAAACTTCAAAGAAACAAAATGATAAATAATGATAATTGAAAGTAAACAATGTGTAATTTCACTTGTTTGTTTACATCAAACATTGTTTACAGATCAATTAGAAAGTATTTAGTTTGTATCAGACACTGATTGCTGTATAATGTAATCAAAGTGGAGAATTAGTTAGATACGAATCATCAGGTTCAGGTAACAAAAATGTTAATCTTAAATTGACATACTTGTCTTCATATTTTCTCTACCTGCTGATAAACTAGAGATATATTTCAGTTATCTGTATCACAGAATTAGAATCTAATGCACCTGCCATTCTCTCCAAAGTTTACATCAGCTTATGAAGCAAATATTTGGATGACTTTACCTGTTTAACCAATAAGATTCTCCCATTTGAGGGACTGGTGATCTTTTAGACTACATCATACTATTGTTCATTTGGAAGTGGATTATGGATTTATTGTTCAGATTGTTAAAGGGATATATTAGCCATTTTCTGGGGTCGATTTTAGTCTTGAATATATGTTAATAGTCCTCAGAAGTACTAGTAATGTATGAAAATCACATAATTCCTTCAAAAATATCTCAAACTAGGAATTTTACTCAGTATTTCTATATGTCTTTTCTATATATCACAGAGTATCTTAAAATGACGAGTCATCATTTTAACATTCAATCTTGGATAATTCTGGACACACATGGATTTGAAGGATCAAATTTCGACGGTTAGCTGTTAACACTATTACTGATTGGCTTAGATAATAAATTCCCGCTTCTGAAACTAAGGTACGGTTGGTCAAAAAATGGCCCATATGTCCCTTTAAGAAGTGTATGGTAGAAACCTGAGTTGGTGAACTAATTTCACCCTTTAATTATTACAATCAACATAATTAACCCAATCTGCTCAAAATCAAACTGATTTACTATCATTTGTTTTAATGTAGACCATGTTTAAGAGATTAATAAATTACTGAAGGATTACCCTTAATCTAGGAATAATCTCTTAATCCATTTAGACCCTGAATCACTCTGGTACTTATTTAGTTGTCAGTTACAATGTGGTATAAACAGACAGTATATTATAAATAGGTTTGTGGCAGTATTCCATAACTCAACTTAAGATGTAAGAGTTCTTAATAGTATTGATATTGGAAATAACAAGTTAAGAAAGTCTAACAGTATTTGAGATAAGGAGTTTAATATTGTATAAGAATTTTCACCACCGTGTTGTGATTTGGTAAATATTGTTTTTGGATATATTACTGGTAACACTTGTAAAACTTAAAAGTAGGATTGGATATTTGATTATTTGAATTCTCAAGAACGAGGACATTTTTTGATGCTTAGTTTGGATATTTAAGCTTTTCTACATGTGGAATTTTACAAAATTTAATATGTGGTAAGTAACTCATTCATTAAGTCTCACTTGAAGTTGACTGGAGGTTTTACATATCTATAAGTGTCCAAAAAAACTTCCTCATTGGAAAAAAAAATGTTCCATGCCTTTAAACAGATATTATTTGATTTGTTGGCTGCTACTAATGTTACGTCAGTGTGTTATTTGGATTGTAGGTTTCTCTTTGCGGTTTGGATCGTTAGTAGGCTTACTTGGTTTATTTATTGGTATTTAGAATTTACAGACTTGATTGTCAAACATAGTCAGTCAATGGCGCAAGTGCAGCTGACACCAAAACCTTTCAAACTCTAAATTTAGAGCAGAATGTAATTTGTTGTTAATCAAGTGATAATTAAAAGTAAACCACGAATACTAATTAGTACCATTCTGACTCTCATCTTCATTAACAGCTTTCTATCAGAGTGCCAGGAAGAAAGTTGGTCTCAGGATCAATAATGTAAATAGAATGTATTTTAATTAGACGAGACATGACTGTGTAGGTGGACTGACTTTATATTTTTTATAAAATACATCTTCAATCAAATATTGATTTTATACTAAGAAACAACTTTGATCTCAAGGTAAAGATGTAGGAAATGGTATGACATGTAGCAGATATAAATATAACTATTATATTTACTATAAGACAGTGAAGGTAAACAATGGAAGGTTGGAAGATTTCGGTTTTTAGAAATGAAAGGGAGGTTTTCGTTCTATTTGTTTGTACCTTTTTGGACTGATGAGGTCTGACAAATGCCAATGCCAAATGGACATCAGCATTTAACCTACTTTTCTTTTATTTCTAACTGTCAAGGGATCCTTATTGTCAAATCCCTGTACAAGCCAGGTTTATGGATTCAATTTGTACCACTGCGTTGTCCTGTCTATAATATGGTTCCTGTAATTCTACTTGACAAGTTCTAAAAAAGTTGAAAAGTTCTAACAAAGTTGACAAATTCTAAAAAAGTTGACAAGATTTTGACATCACTATTGCCAATACCAATAAAGCAAAAACATTGAAAAGTGATTTTATAAAATGTTTTCAGCATTCTCTTGTAATGTTTTTCAAACAGTGTCACAGATATACATGTAGTGTTGGCAGTAGCAAACGTTGTTTAAACCAATCAAATGTGTTATTGACATCATAGAAACCAGATGGATAACTGTGAAAATATTATTCACCTTGTAAAAGACCTGCTAATAGTTGTTATTGAGAGTTGGTTTGTCAGTTTCATAATCGTGAAGAGTTGCTTTACCAATGGTTGGAAATGTTGGTTGGTAGATGACAAGTTAACATTCGCTTCCAGCAGATGCTGATATCGCAAACTAGGTAGTTGTTGGTAGTTGTAGTAGTTGGTAGTTGGATTTGTACCAATGGTTGCAATGTCTAGTGTATAGCTTTATAGCACTTGTAAGATTATCTTCCAGATTATTTGTGTCGGTTTTTTTTACTCTGCCATCTTCAGATCATTTTTTATGGAAAAAATATATGTTGTATTTAAGTAGAGAGAATTAGATTTAAAGTTTGGATTCTGGGAAATAAGTCAAGTTGTTGGGTTTTAATACTTTCCTGTGCAGGTAGATGCTAAGCTGAAAATAATTTTGGAATGAAGCCTTCTTTTACTTATATTCATTTATATTTTTACAAATTTTTGATTTGATATTGAATTATCCGTTTGTATAAGTGTGGAATATTGGAATTAAGATTCTGCAGCTATGTTTTTTGAAAATTAATTTTGGAATTTTTTTTCTATTTTCAGTTATAATGGTAGTTGGTAGTTCTGTAGTAACTGGTGCCGTCATGTTGCTAGGACCAAATTTATCCTGGATACAAAACCATTCCTTACCAACGTCTAAAACTACCATATTTGATTTTTTTACTGGGCGTTACCCTGCACCACAATCATGTACAGTAGAATGGAACTGGGAAGAACCAATCGTGGTAGGAAAAACAGTTTCCTTCAACATTAAGGTAAGTTTGATTATTTACTCTACAAATATAGGGTGGTCCAAAAGGACGACAACTTTTTCATTTTAGGATTATTCATAACATATCAAGACCATGATATTTTGAAATGATAATTATAGAGATACTGTATTATACATCTTTTCATAAAAAATTTAACTGCATAGGTTGAAACATTTTGAATCAGCAGCAATTCTCAATTCCTTGTCAACTCTTTAATGTCAACTGTTCTTTGATTGCATATACATCATCTTAAAATATAATTCTAGGCTTTTAAAGCTATTTGACAAAATAGTAGGGTTTAAGAGAAAATATGGCACTAGCTTTCAAAAGCGTTGTCCACATCAATATGAAATATATTTTGCTTTTGTGGGGGAAACATAATAAAAGTAGTCTCTTAATGGATAGAAATGAAGAAATATTATGCGTTGTCGTATAAAATAAAACCTATTGATATTTCGAAAATAAAACACTTTGTCTTTCAGAAAAATATTTAAAAAAATCCCACTATTAACTTCTCAAAAAATAGAAATTGACTTTCCAAACCTTAAATCTAGCTTAACTTTAAATACATATCCCTTGTTGATTTCAAGATCTTACAAGGAAGTATTAGCTCTTAGTTTCTGCTATAACAGGAAGTGTCTTTTAGGAAATACATAAATCCATGTAGAATTAGAAAAAAAGATGGAATTGTTCTTTTCTGAAACATAAATCAAGATATACAAGTAGATTTGGCATTCTCCTAGATTCAAAGATCTATTACCAGGAAGAAGGCTTGAAAGCTAAGTAGATTGTTCAATGAAATTATAGTATTGTATAATCTAATTATGGTTAGTTCTTGTTTCTTCCCGCCGTATTGTATGGACGTGAAATAGTTACTAAGATCGGAATGACCTCCAAATTGTCTGTCTTGGTATCCATTACTGTCAGAAGGTCAGGGAATCAATAGCTCCAAGTGGAAATCTTACCCCGTGATATGACTCAATGGCAGCTCAGTTTATTTTTTTGTCTAACTGAGAAACTTAAAGGGATTGTAAATTGTGTAATGTCACTATCATAAAGACCCCAAAATGTTATACATAGCGTTGTGATAGTTATGTCCTAAAACACTTAGTTCAAGTCGGATTGGAATGGCCATTGATGCTATATCAGTGTCCCAAAAACACATAAAAAGTTTGGAAAACCAGCTGGTGTTTGATCCTGAAACATGGTGCTTTTGCACGGTCATTATAACTATTAATCTTCTCAAAGTCATTGACTGAATGCATGGATAGAATCATAATCAACATAGCTTACAGTTTGCATTTGACTCTAGGTCATATCCCTTGAAAGATAGGTCAATGCTCTTGGCAATGGACACTAAATGAGACAAGCATGTGACTTTAGGTCAAATCCTGTCAATAGTCTACCTTTCAACTGTTTTAAACTGAATTGACTTGACTGAAGAGAAGATTGTGAATTGAAAATGAGAGGATATTAATTATTAATGTGTCCATCAGTTATTTCTTGACAGCCTGTATCACGAGTGCACACATACCTATAGTATATCTATCATGTAATAACAATAACAGGAAATTTACTCTATGTTGAAATAGTTCTCAATTTATTTAAAAAAAATACAAATACAGTAAAAATAGGGTTTGAAATATGTTTATATTTTTGACATATTTAGTCAGTAACATATTTCATTGAACAGCATATTTCATTCACCAGCATATTTCAATCAACAACATATTTAAGTCAATAACATATTTAAGTCAATAACAAATTTAAATCAACAACATATTTAAGTCAACAACATATTTAAGTCAATAACATATTTAAGTCAATAACAAATTTAAATCAATAACATATTTCAGTCAACAACATATTTAAGTCAGTAACATATTTAAGTCAATAACAAATTTAAGTCAATAACATATTTCAGTCAATAACATATTTAAGTCAATAACAAATTTAAGTCAATAACAAATTTAAGTCAACAACATATTTAAGTCAATAACATATTTAAGTCAATAACAAATTTAAATCAATAACATATTTCAGTCAACAACATATTTAAGTCAGTAACATATTTAAGTCAATAACAAATTTAAGTCAATAACATATTTCAGTCAATAACATATTTCAGTCAATAACAAATTTAAGTCAATAACAAATTTAAGTCAATAACATATTTCAGTCAATAACATATTTAAGTCAATAACAAATTTAAGTCAATAACATATTTCAGTCAACAACATATTTAAGTCAATAACAAATTTAAGTCAATAACATATTTCAGTCAACAACATATTTAAGTCAATAACATATTTCAGCCAATAGCATATTTAAGTCAATAACATATTTCAGTCAATAACATATTTACGTCAATAACATCTTTCTGCAGTGTTGGTTTGTGTTAACTTGTCTTACAAGCTATTTTAAGAGATGGAAATAACATTGTATCAGTTTTGTTTTAGAACCTAATCTATAATTATTGAACCAATAATCAGAGGTCAGAATAATGACACACAGACGTATTTATGGTTATTTAATTTAGTTATTAAACTCTGGAATTTCTTTTTCTGGTTATTTTCTAGTCTAGTCCTCAGTTAAAATACATTACTCTTTCTGATTCACTTAATCTTTTGATATATCTGACTGGACTCTTATAGCTCCTATAGATACATCATTATGGTCAGACTGTTCTTTAAGAAACTTGATAGTATCTTTTATCACTTGTTTCCTCTGTTTTATCCCATAACTCGTGGATTTCTTAGTTCCTTGACTGGCTTCTTATAGATACATCCTTATGGTCTGACTGTTCTGTAAGAATCTTCATAGCACAGTTGGGAACTCATTTCCTCTGGGTTTTTTCCACAAAACTCATGGATTCTGAGTTCCATGTTTGGGTTGTTATAGATCTTATAGGAATAACATTAAAGTCAGACTGTTCTTTTAGAATCTTGATAGCATCATTTAGCACTCATTTCCTCTGTTTTTTCAAATAACTCTTGAATTCTTAGTTCCATGACTAGTTTCTTATAGATACATCATTACTGTCAAACTGATATTTTAAGAATTTTGATATGACTGTTAAGCACATGTTTTCTCATTTCCAAAACATATGTTTGTCTAGTTCAATTTGAATCCCAACCTCAGATTAGATTTCTTCAGAATTTTTTGCTTAATTCACAATCTTTATCTTTTTATTCAATAAAATTCTGAACAAACTGTGTCTAATTCTATATTTTTCAAATCTACTTGCGAATACGAGAAAAATAAAACCCATGAGGAAAGTGAAAATGGCATTTTAATTCAGAGCATGATTTGATAAAAATAAAATTTTCCGATTTACTAAATTGGATTAGATAACATGCATTATGGGTATAAAAGAAAAACAAAATGATCAAGAATGGCAAAAGCAATTCCATTGAGAGATCAGTTATATTTGCAGTTTCCTAAAACTTACGGTTTCCTTATTCATGGAATTATCCAATTATATTTATTGTGTGTACTTTGACTCTGTGTAAATTGGCTCAATACACCTAATAATACGGCAAATCAAAGAGGGCCATAAAATTAATGAGTTATGCTAGAGATTTATTTGGTAGAAGGATATTAATGCTGAACATTTCTACAGACTGGATGATTTATGATTGGTTTAGTTATTAGATAGACTAGGTCTATGGTGCTTCCAATAAATCTCCTAAAACGATCACAGAATTTAGACATGGTTGATATATCTATTATTGCAAGTTATGAAATATGGAATTGATGTCAAAATGAGATGAGTGAATGAATTTCTGTAACAAAGCCTGATAGACAGTTGTCTTTTTTTTGTGGTATAACAAATTTCTCAGCGATTCCAGAAAATTGAGTGAACAGTCTCAAAGCAATTACAGAAAGCTGTTTTAACAAAGATCTTGGCTGACAAGTAATTTACAGACATGTAGCTACCAAAATTGTAATTTATTATTCAAAGTGAAAAAATGATCTTATCTGAAACCATAACAAAAACATTGACATTGTTTTGTGTTAAAATTGCAACAAAAAATCAGAACTATGGAACTATAGTGAACACTTGAAAAGTTCGAAGGTGCCAGTGATCCAGAATGATTTGAATATAAACATGATGGTTCAAGAGACATTCAAGTTGTTTTTCTGTTCAGATTTCTATGCCACCAAAAAGGGACATAGGATATGTTTTCCTTTCCATTTCAAGTTAGAACAAACTATGCAATCTTCTTTGAGTTGATGAAAGAAATCAGAGAGTGATGTTGTTAGAGGAATAATGAAGAAAATAAAACTCAATGTTTTTCAAGTGGTGAAGTCAATTATGTAAATTATTATTCAAGATAGGATTTCTTGAAGATAGACTTCATGGAACCTAGATGTATGATATTTGATGAAATATTCTTGATAAATATTTTCTCAGAAAAGTTCAAAGCTGGAGGAAGAGAAATTATTGATTGAGAAAATTTGGTTGATGCTTGAATAGTTAGGAGAGAAATTGGGCTGATTGAAATCATCTCAATTATATTGCTGAAAGTACTTTAAGAGATGTTTGTTTTAAGATAGAGGAAGAAATCTTTCTTAAATAGAGGAAGAAATTGCATTTTAAAAAAGAATTTTACAGTTGTGTGTACATGGTGTTGTAACTTCTTTGATGATTTTGGTCATGATTTGAAGCAATGTATTTTATACAGATAAGACCATTGCCATAATTTTGGATTGGACACTAGAAAATGTGTGATTTAAAATGCTATTTATTGGTATTAACATATAAAACCTGTGCTGATATACATGTGACAATATAAAAATGTAAGTTTGCCATGTCCTGTTATGATTAAGTAGCTGAGACTGTGGTTTACTTTATCTAAATGGCTTATGACGAATGGAAATTTAACCCATCATAAGAGATTTGCTGTACTTGTATAATATTGTATGTTGGAATATGTAATAATATCAGATGTATTGAAGAGAATGTGACCATAACATTGCTGAAACAAGCACAATAACAAGTTGTTTCTGATGAACATCCTGGATCTAAAAGGACAAAATGGAGAAGATTATGAAAATAATTATTATTCAAAGAAGTGATTGCCATTACATCATTGCATTTCCTTTGAATATAGTTGGGATTTTATAATTACTTGAAATCCTTTATATGTGGGATGTATATCATGAAAATCGTTGGCTTCATATTTCTGGAGATGTGAACTTTTGTTGTCCACCATTTCTGTGTTTCAGACAGATGAACTTAGTCAGTTCATGAATTATTCCATTTTGTCCTGAAACTTTTATAAAGTAATTAGAATTCTGCCATCTAATCTAAAAAATGTTGGCTGGGTCATATTATCTTAAATAGCTTCCAGCAATTTCATTATCCTAACCAATTTTGTTATTTTCAGTTTTTCCAGAAGAATGGAAAAGAATATCCGGTGTCAACTTGTGATAATGTACTGGTGGAGATCATGCATCAAGGAATTAAAGTCGGACATAATATGGAGTTTGGATTTAAGGAGCCAGATTTGTCCAATATGGCTAAAGTCAGTTTTACTGTTCATAAATCTGGAACATACACCATCTCAGTCATGATTGGAGCTAGACATATTAAAGGAAGTCCTTTTAATAAGGTTTTTGAACCAGGTAAGAACTGAAATTCCTGTTAATCAAATTTAGATCAAAGTAAATCTGCAATTGAAAAACAATTAAAAAGTAAAAACTTTTAAAGGGGGAGTATGCACTATCTTCAAAATAACAATATTGTTAAAAATCATTGCCTTGAAAATACTCCACTTTTCAGTGACATAATAATAATATTATCTTAATCAACAAATTTTGCAATTTGAGAATTTATTTGTTTATTGTTTTGTTTCAAATTCAAGACCTATAGATGATGTTTTCTGCTATTCCTTCTATTGGTTAATTTAGCAAAAACTTTTGAACCTGAAATTTGTTCTGACCTTGAGGAGGTTTCGAACCCAGATCACCCTAGACTAGGAAAAGACAATCCCTACTCTACTGACTGAGCTATACCACTGTCACTTGGTGTTAGTTTACGGTTTAAACACTAAAATTGCTGCTGTTGTATTTAACAGCCCCTTTATTTCATATCACAGGACCGATAGATGCTGGTAAAACAGGGTTTATGAATTATAGTTCTACTGTAGTTTGTACAGCTGGCACATCACATCCCCTTACTATAGAAACCAGAGATAGTTTTGGTAATCTAGCAACATATAAAACAGATCAAAGTAACTATTTTAAAATCAGAGTCAGAGAGGTAAGTTTTTTATTGAAACTTCTTTGTTTGGATGAATTTGATTTGAACAAGATATACTTTTAAACTTTTGGAACTTTGACCTTTATTTCAGTTTATTCTTTGTAATATTATATTTTCTGGTTTCTTATTTATCGCCAATGTGTTAATTGTACTTCAGTACACATAATGTACTTCAAAAACTGAAAACCGAAATTCTGAAAACTTGCTGTCAATATGTCTAACCTAAAATGGTAAATATTTTTAATTCAGGCTGGTACCAATATACGCTATATACCGACAACTCAGATTATATATGACCCCACGGGGAAACGTTTAACTATGCATATAAAAATGGACAGACAAGGCTGTTATCAAGCAACAGTCAGTTATGGAGATACAAAATTAAAAAATGGAGATTTTAATATCTTAGTTTTAAGTCGTAAGTAAATGTTTTTATTGTTTGTTATATTACAATGTTCATCAATAATTGCTTGTGAAAGTATATTAGTTAGGTATTGGCAGAGTTCAAATTTTGTTAATCTGTTGTTGACTCATTGATGGTGTATTGCCTTGGTTCTGAAATTTTTGGACAATATTTTTTAAATATTTTCCATGAGCCATCTTAGGTATTTGTTGGTAGAAACTTTCAAGTGCCAGATATTGCTTGGTTTTAACAAGATATACTTTCTAAATCAGAAAAAATGCAATTACGTCAATTTTGTCTTTTTATCACTCTAAATAAGTCCAATGCTGTCAATTATTTCATGGGTGAAATATATATATTTTCGTACAATTTTTCATTTCAATATTTTCTATTTTTATCTAATCATATTGTTATTGTAATATTTTTTATTTGTAGCTGATGAAATGGTTCATGTTAGTAAAAATTTAATTAAAAAAACACACAGTATATATTATGAAGCTAGGTTGATATCGTATAATCACGAAAAGTTAGATAAACCTAAAAAAGTTTATGTATATATTTCACCAAAGGTAAGTGTCACAAAGGATATTCCTTTAATGTTAATGGAAAGTTTTATAAGAGATACTCTATTATAGAAGCACTGGCCTGGGTCACAAATAGAGACTATGGATTTTCACATTGGAATACATCAATTTGATAAGAAGTTACCTACTTCTGGAGAGATTTACAAGATAAACAAATAATTCAGAAATACAAAGTGATTGTTTCAGGGAGTTAATGAAAGGGGATCTAATCTACCATGAACTAGAACATTACTCAGATTTTTATTCATACTACTTCTTGCTTTTATTGCAACAATATACATAGTCATCATTGTCTCTCTCTGAATCAAACTTTCAAGTATTTTTTTTCTGTAAAATATGTCGTTTTTAGTGCACCAGTCAGACATGGATAGCTTCCATAACCTTTTAAATTATTTGTGTTTTTTTTTTCAGCAATTAACACTTAAGGAATTTTATTTAAAGATTATTGGTAAAAAACTATATACTTTTAGAGTGTGTCCCTCCACGAAGGTAAACAAATTAGTAATTCATTTCATCTTTCATCAACCATCCTATTCTGTGAATATTTTTATAATCTGCTATGAATAAATGAATATATTGAATATAACTTTGTCTAAGATATATGGTAATCTATTAGATCTGCAGCATATTGGACATTGAAAGGGGTTTAAAGTTGACACTGAGCTGACTCTCTCTAGCAATGAAAGTGATATCTGAATATTTCTTACATTTAGGAAAATTCAACAATTTAACTTGCTATCAACTGAGATATTCTATGTATCATAGTTTAATTTCAGTGGGTAAAATAGTTAAAGATGGGTTTCCTTATTTTTTAGTGTCATATTAAGCAAACTATTTGATTAATTGGTGTTTTTAATGAATTATCATATATTTTAACCATATCATTATATTCTTATTGAATATAATTATAAGCATTAGCATTTTCATTTTCATTTTCATAAATGAAAATAAGGGAACCCATCTTTAAGAACTTTCATTGCATAATCTTTACGTCTAATTTCTGAATATGATTGTTATTTTATTGTTTTTTAGTTTTATTTTAATGGTTATAATAACCACTATGAAGCACCAACATTTACAATAGACGATGGTTCTCAGCCTCCTATAGTTATAGCAGCTAAAGATAGAAATGTCATAGCTGCTACCTTTACTAGTTTTCTACTCAAAAATATAGGTAAGTAATTCAGATTGGGGTGTTCCCAGCCTCATGGACTAGTGTACCTGAGGGTACCAGTATGGCACTGAAGGGTATCAGTACTGCTAACAACATAAAGGTAGTACATGTACATTAAGTCAAAAGATGAAGTAACCAGAGGCTTATGTTAACCAGCCTAAAGACGTCTAGATATTTGTTTTAATGTATATAAATACCAGTATTAAATTTTATGATGAAATTAGAGTTTCAATTTGATCACTATTTTTAAGAACTCAATTTTTATAATTTTCACTTTAAATTTAGTATTAAGAATTTAGTATCCAATTTAGCTAAAATTGACTATCAATGTTAAACTTGTTACTGACTCTTAACTTTGTGTCTAATTTCAGGCGGTTCTGAAACATTTTTAGATAAACAGACATTTTTCCATCACGAAGTTCGTCAGATTCATTCTCGGAAAGCTCACTCCTGTTTACCTATTAAAATAGACAGGTCGAAATTATTACTTAGTGTAAGTACCATATTAAATATCTACTATCAGGTGCTTACAATTTATAGAGACTTTAAAAACAGTGTTAAAGTGAGAGGAGAATAGTATTTTCACATAAAAAAAGCATCCTAGGTCATGAAGTAAGATACAAAAACAAAGGGTTTGAGATGGTTAGTGTAAGCAATTTCCCATTTGTTTGGATGTACCATAAGATCCTCAACCAGTCTCACAAGGTAAATAACTCTTAACACAAACTTATCTTTTGAGCTTATAGATGTATATTGTATTTCCAGTCATATAAAGCAACGAAGAATTTTGAATTATCTGATTGGTGTAAAAGATTTGAGATAACGTTTGTTGGAGAAGAAGGTAGGTTGAAATTTTATGAAATTTTTTTATTATATTACAATAAATCAGACATTCAAATTAGATGTAGGATAAATCATGAAGTTTTTTCAGATATTAAAGAAAGAAATGCCTAAAACAAACAACCAAAGCTACATTTTTGTGAGTAATCATGTACTGTATAATTGGGAGTATAATACGCATATATAATAGGCAACACTTCTTACTCTTAAATTAATGAGGAATTATTCAGTTACACAGGAAGTATTGACTTCATCTGATCCCAGGATATGGCATATCATATTAATCAATTGTGTTATAAATTTCTTATAGAGAAATTACTCAATATCTATTACAGGTTTAGATTGGGGTGGTGTTAGACGTGAATGGATGGAATTATTATGTACTGAATTATTTGACCCTAATGGTTGTGGGTTGTTCAGAAGATTTGAAGATAGTTCACAAGGCCTGGTAAGTATTTTTAATTCTTCAAGTCTTCTATGTGCAACAAGAGTTTGTGGTCACTGTAAGCTGTTGAAGGGAAATCCATGAAATGTAGGTCTTATGACCTAGTAGTGAGCTTCTTAACCTGCCTTGAAGTGCTCCATGTTCTTGTTGTATTTAAACAACAAATCCATACCTAGAATACTAATTGTGGAAAATTTTATTTCAGGTTCACCCAAACCCTAAAAGACCAATGAAATTGAAATTAAAGTATTATGAGTTTGCTGGGAAACTGGTAGGAAAGTGTCTATATGAATCATGTTTAGGACGATCTTATCGACAGCTAGTGAAAGCCAGATTCTCTCGCTCTTTTCTAGCTCAACTAATTGGTTTACGAGTCAACTATAAGGTAAGAATATTGATTATCTAGTCTTCGTTAACCAGGCACAAGTTTCACAAAGGTTACGATTGGCACAAGTGAAGGTGACATAGATGATCACAGCTAGTACCAGCCTTAGCACCAGTTGCTCAAAGAGATTGTATGACAATCTTAGTAACAACATGAGACAGTCTTACCCCTTAAAACTCACCATCCAACCAGTTTAAATAGTATAAGATCAATTTGTTAATGTTATATTGTATATATACATATAGCATGGGAGGTCAAAGTTGAAAGGTCATATTTTTGTAATTTCAGTATTTTGAGTCTGATGATCCTGAGTTATATAAAACTAAAATCAAGTTTATAGAAGATAATGATATCAATGATATGGATTTGACGTTTAGTGAAGATGAGTATATTAATGGACAGTTAACAAAGGTAAGTTTCCCAGATTTATCTCTGTTTTGCTAGGTTTGATATAACTTGACATACAACAAAAACACCGCTAAATTTACAAATGAGCTCTTCCAATCATACATGTCCAGTTTCATATTAATAGAAAGAATGCATGTCTGGAAGAGTTAAATAAAAAATTGAGGGGTGACAGATAGATGACTGACACTCGGTTAATATCCTTGTGTCTTGAACATTGTAAAGGTACATTGTTGTTGTCTCTTCAAATAAAATTTACCAATGCGAAAGTTGTAGTGAATATAATTATGTAGTAAGCCAACCTACAAGGTGTAATGGATTCAATGTGAGTTATATTGTAGATTTTGTAGGGATGAAATATACAGGAAATAATCTTTTCTCTATTCTTTCCAGATTATAGAATATATACCAAATGGAAGTCGCACAGCAGTGAATAATAGAAATAAATTACGATATTTAGATGTTCTAGCCCAGTATAGACTGGCATCCAATGTGAAAGATGAACTAGAGGCGTTCCTAAAGGGATTAAATGAGTTAATCCCTGATAATCTACTCAGTATATTTGATGAAAATGAATTAGAGGTAGGTAAAACTCATTATGTTCATGAGAGCAGAATTTTTGCAAAAAATATCCACTATAAAATTCTGAAGGACAATGTTTTCAGCAAGGTGATGATGGATTTGAATTTATAAAACTGTTGTTGAGATTGCCCAGCAGTTCCATGACCTGAATTCAGACCACAAAATTGAAAAAAAGTTTCTGAGTCCCATTTTATTTGACTGTGAAAAATATTATTTTCAGTGTCAGCACTTGTTATATATTATATAATCTTGTGTTTGTGATATTTTGTAGTTATTAATGTGTGGAACTGATAATTATAGTATAGCTGATTTTAAAATTCATCACACAGTGTCAGGTACCTCTCCTCAATTTAGCAAGGTAGGAATTTATCATTTAAAGGCACATTCTGCTTTTATTCAATCAGTTTTTGTGGTATGGAGCATGAAATATATCAAACTGCATGCCAACACATAGAGGAAGATGCCCCTTACCTTTTGTAAAATTTGATTATGAGAAATGAATTCTAATTGAACTACCAATTATTAATAACTACTCGGAAGCAATTTCACAAATGTACCTCCAAAAGCTGTAGAGTTCTAGGTCTGTAGTTCGAAATACTCTGATAAAAATCATGTCATGTATTTTTTAACTAAATTTTGATGTTTAAAATGGTTTCTCTGTCGCAAGGGCAATGTATACAAAGGACATACATATAATATCACACACGTTGAAATTAAAGCAGAATGCCCCTTTAAAGAGAAAACATTGATTGATTGATTGATTCCAAGCATATTGGAAATTCATTTTGAACTCACTTCTAGATTGGCAGATTATAAAAGACAATAAAACATATTAAACTTTGGCACTGATCAAATATTTGGTCCATGAAATGTATGTCTTCCCTTAGAGGATTTTGGGCTAAAATCTAGGTCATGTACCCCTACAGCTGATCCTCAAATGATCTGGCACTGGCTTTGTAAAGTCTTTTACCTTTTGAATAACCAGAAGTTTATATCAACTGCAGACAGCAATCTGCTGGCTAGCCCTAGACTCTGATAATCTTTTACTTTTTTTAGAATTGATATTGATATAATGTATATATTTCAATGCTGTAAATGTATTTTCAGATGTTAGATTGGTTTTGGACGATTGTTGCTGGGTTTACAGATGAACAAATGGCACGATTGTTACAGTTTATTACTGGATGTTCACAGCTACCAGTGGGAGGTTTCTCAGAATTATTACCCAAAATACAGCTGAGTTCGACCCCCATGTTCAATGTTTTACCTACAGCTCATACCTGGTATGTATTTAGAATTTTTCTACAATTTGATAATTGTTGAGTTCATCTTTTATTCTTCTCAAATTTGAGAAAAAATGTTTTAAAGATGGATCCTATCCTATCTTCAGACCATGACCAGTATTTGTCTCTAGAATTATCTGAACCAATATACAGTAGTATCCAATAATGGATATGAATCTTTTGAAACTTCTTTTGAAAATCATCTTTTTCTCTTTTCAGTTTTAACCAGTTGTGTATTCCATTCTACGACAGTATTGACCAGTTTCATCATTCCTTATTACTGGCCATTAACGAGGGCAGTCAGGGATTTGGAATGGCTTGAGACAGGTGTCGGAATTAAATGTTTGCCTTTATGTCTGGAAACAGACGCAAGAAAATTGTGACCACTTGAATATCTGCAAGTGCTTGGATTTGGATCCTTGTTGGTGAAACAGGAGAAAGCCTAATATTGAAGATTAAAAGCTTAACCTAGAACACAGTTTGATACAGATATCAGAGTGAGATTCTGATCTTGTGACATGGTACTGATCTGTGATTAGATAAGATATTTTTTGTGTCTGAGTGATTAACTTAGAAATGAAACTCAGTGAAAGATTATGACTCAAAATGAAAGGTGACAAATTTTTTTGTGATATAAAAGTGCTCAATGTATCAAGAAAATGGAACTAATTTTTTAGAATTTCACATTCCATGTGATTTGGTGGTAGATATTTGTAATATGGACATGTTTTAAAAAAAAAACAGGCTATTATTCACAGTTTGTGCTAATTTACATTTTCTATTGTGATTCTTTGAACAGGATTTAGTAATTGGCTTGAATTAAGAAATAATAAACTTTTATAGAATACAATTACTATCTTTATCACAGGGATGTTAAAACTAGATTTCCCTAATCTTCATCAGTCCATTGCCTGAAAAAAATTGTATTCCATAAAAGAAGTCTATTATTTCTTAATTCAATGGTGATTGTTATTTTTAACAATTTTGGCCAAAAGGAAAGGGGTTTTCCCCTTCTGGAACATCTCAGCTAATGTAAGTGCTGTCAAAAGATAATAACTAAATAATTAAGATTCAGATATCCATTTGTAAAGATAAGTAAAAGTTTGGTATATTTGAAGTAAAGAGGCCCTTGTACCTTACAGATTGCCTATAATAGTGTAATTATTATCAGTATTATACTTGTTCTGTACAATGAATATACATAGCTTTACTTAATATACTTTGGCTAGACAATGTAAATTCAGATGTACATGAATATCGTTGCAGGACTATATTATATGTAGCTGTAGATTCTATTTTTCATCTATATCTTTCTCTAAGTACTGTGATAGTATTTTAATACAAGGAGTTATAAATATTTATATGATAGGTTTACTGAAAAAAAGAGCCTTATGATAGTTTTTATGAAATAGCTCTTAAAATTGTTGCTTTGGATCTAAGTTATTTCGGAATTTTTTTTATAGTCAGTTTCCATTTTATTAGGTTTTAATCTTTATTTTATTTATATGAAATGATAGGTATTGCACACAGTTATTGTTGGCCAAAAGTTTTGGGCATATTTCTTACAATTTATGGTGACAATAAAGTCAGTGATGTTCAGGGTGTGTTTCTTTGAATATTCCCATGACCTTTTATTATCATATACTATAAATTGATCTCTTAAAAGGCTCTGGAATAATTAGTCTGTATTATTTAACTAAATAATATGTGTCTAATCCTCAGGATCCTATATGAATTCCATGACATATGTATTTATATTGTCTTGTGACATGGTCTAATATAATATTTAAAATCAACATGGTCTCCACCTCAGTTTAATTGACATAATATTTGCGCTATGTCTACATCTCTTGCATAATTACATATACACAATACATATACATAATGATAATCTGTGAATTTACTTGGTAATTTTATCAGTAGTTAATATTTTTAGTAAAGGCCAGTGATTCTGATATTTTTATGTCATTGAGTAATTTTTTGTTGTTGTTTAAAGTTATTTAATAATTTATTTAATTTAATTGAGTTTTATGGAATTTCATTTTTTATTTCCCTGGATCTAACAGCCTGCAAATAAAGTTAGACTAAACTGGAGTATCGAAGCAAAAGAATTGCAAACATCACTTTTGCATTTTCTACAGTTTATATCTAAAGTGGCCCTCACACAATAGGGATCACAAGCGATAGCAATCGTATAGCTGCGAAAACAATAGGGGTCACAAGTTTCGAACGCAACTCACATGCAAATGAATAGTGAAGCTTATGACACTTTCATTATTCCCAACTATAAACAACTGGTAATCACTATGGTGTGAGGGCACCTTCAACTACACTATACAACAATATTAAAATGTTCATGATACTCATTCTATGTAGATTTAAAAGAATGTACATGTAAATAAGACTGTATACTTTTATAATTTTACATCATTTTATCATTTAGTTAAAAGGGACATCATCTCAATACAGCATATTGTCTATTATGATGTTATACAGTCATTTGTTCATTTATTCATTTGATACAATGTAATCATGCCTATTGCTATTACAAGATTTTATGATCTCTTGATTTAATTATTTTGTTAGAGTGTTTGTTAATTTGTTTGTGTATTTTTTTAGTTCAGTCTATCTGTATTTTAATAGATTATTTCATGTTTACTGCAATATAAGAGATAATAATCATGTATACTGATGCTAAATTCTCTCTTACCAGCTTATAATCAGATAACTATATCCCATTTAAATTCATTTTGATTGAAATGCAGATATAGATGTTTCATTTACTTTACTGTGGAGATTCTTCTTTTTGTCACATTCTGTAAAAATTTTTTACCCAATAGCATCAATGAATCCTTACATATAGAAAGAAAAATTTTATGTACAGAGCATTTGATTGGCTGAATATTATATTATGACCAAGAACATATGATTCCCTTGACAACAATTTCGTAAGATTATGGATGGCAAATGAAGTCACCCACAGAAAGAAACAAAACAATATATATAAAATATTTGCATTTTGATCAGATAGCCTAGATTCAGTAAGATGTGAATAAAATACTTTGGTTTTTATCTTCCTATTTCGCTAGTGTTAATTTATTTTCCCATAAAAAAAAAATCACCTTGCCTTCATCATATCATGATCAGCTTATAAATAAAACATAATTTTATATATAACTCTTGTATTTGTTTTTACATATTTTTATTCCTGTTGGCATTAGTCATCCTCTGAAGGAGAAATTGACTGCAATCATGAAACCCAAAATACTTTTTGTCAAATTAGTCCACTACACCATTGGGCAATGGGGTATCACAGAATAAACCCCAGGAAAATTTGGATTTTAATTGTCTCCATAATGGTAATGGTTGGGACTCGAGAACGATCAAAACAAATTTAAGGATTTTTTATGCCTTTGAAGTCGAGTTTAATTTTATTTCTTTGTCAACATTATTTGTAGTCTGAATTATTATAAGGGAGGTAATCAATAGACTTTTAATATCTTAAAAGTCAGTTCTATGATGTAAAAAATTCTATAAAGAATTGGATATGTGAATGATTTCAATTCAGTCTTTTGATTGGTCTTCAAAATACCCCGAGGAAGTATGACGAATGGGGTGTGGTTTAGAAACGATGCGCCGGCTCCATGTTAGAAAGGTTGTGCAACAGATTCAGCTTTACGGAAAGTGCCGAGGATGTCGACGTCAATTGCCGAGTTCATTTTGACAGGCCTAACGTGACGTCAAATATAAACAAAGAATGACGTCATACATCTGGCAACATGGTGGATGAGTTCTTAAAAGAACAACATGGAACTCTACAAAATCACAACATCAATTCTATTGATGGTGGTTTTATTGGAGTTTCGTGTATCTGCAGTTTCAACGAATAACTATTTTCGATACAAAGGCTTGATATCGAGAAACCCACCAGGTTGGATGCCGGCATTTGATAAAAATTTCAGTAAGTAGGCTTAGTCTAGAACTAGAAGTAAGAACATTAGTTTATTTATTAACCAAGTTTTAAAACAACAAGATTTTAGAATTAGATCTAATTCCATTTAAAACTTTGAGTTTTTTATTTTAAGAAAAAGAAATAGAAGAAATTATATTATAACTAATACTAGAGTCTAATTTGTCAAGAGTCCCAGATTCTAGAATCTAGAAATACTAATAGTAATAAATAGGCCTAGGCTAGGCTAGGCTATATCAGGCCAGTAAAGCTCAGTCAGCAAGTCATTCGAGTCATCTACCCACCCCCTTTTCTTTTTTTTAGGTACGGGCCTGTACCATATATAATAAAGATACACCAGAAAGGTCCATAGCAGGGTTCTGAGAGTGACTTGACTGATTAGGCCAACAGTAACAGCAAGGCCATATTATTGTCAGAAACAAAGGAAACCGTAGCCATTTGATTTTTGAATTTTGAATTTGACGCACTCTTTAAGTTTAAAAAAAAAAAAAAAAAAGAGATAGATCTAGAGAAACATATTTATTTGCGCATAGAGCATGAAAGGCTATTAATGATTTTCCCTTTTTTAATTGCAGAAGACATGAAGTTGGGAGATAACTGTTATGTTTCTTCCAAAGGTAAACGGGTAAAGAGGAGAGCAAGAAACATGGATCCGAGGTTTAAGGCATTAAGATCGAGCATGCTTGGTACGATAAGTCGTTACACACCTAAAAAACTTAAAGCCCATGTCGCTAACAAAAAGAAAAAAAAAGGGAAAAAAAAAACAAAAAAAGTAGATACCGGTGTAGTAAAAAATACTGTTGAAGATTGTATCCTGTATTGTTGGTTAAAGAGAAAGCCTCTTGCAATGTTACGTGTAAGCCAATTTTATACGTTTTTTAAATCATAATATATAAATCTTCAAAATGAATATAGGGTCAAACAAGGTCCAGTGGCGGAGCAAAAAGGGCCAGAATGGAAGGCGGTCAGTGGGGTCAGCCGCGCCTCCCCTCCCCCCTCGCAACACCGAAAGAAAGTTTTTCGGGCAAAAATCTCATAACTAGGTTAGAAATTCGGGCAATCACAGATATTTCGCCCCCTCGGATGTAAACCTGGCTTAGCCACTGCAAATAACTTGAGATCATTAGGGTTAAATCACGCTATAAGCTGAGCAGGTCGGCGAATGATTGATTTCAGAACGCCTTGCTCTGCTTATATGTGAATGACTGACTGCGCTGCTCTTTTTTGTTTTTCTTTTGCCAACCGGGGACAGCTGGTATTAATTTTAGATTAAAACTGTTCTCTTAATTTTGTAGAAAGGAAATAAGTGTAGTTGTGACAATAAGGCTCTGAAGAAAGGGTTACCCTTTCAGTGTAAAATAAGATGTAAAGCTAATTCCAAACAGAATTGTGGTGGAGAAGCGGCTTTTGCTACGTATAAAACAGGTAATATATCAATTTTTATTCACCTATAGACAGTAAAATATATTTGGTTTTTGAGTTATTTCCTGTAACCCGAGGGAAATATTTTATCAGGACGAGTTTGATTTTCAGAATTTCTAGATATGGCAGTGTCTCAAAAAGACGACTCTTCTTTTAAACTTTCAAAAGCGGATAATTCTGGACAAAAGGCTCAAATTTCGACGGTGAGCTGTGAACACTTTTACTGATTGGCTTATCTTAGAAATTCTCGTATGATTGGTCAAAAAAATGGCCCATCTGCCTCTTTAACTTTAAGCAACAGTATACGATATCTCAATGTGATAAACGACGTACATCGTTGTCTGTGGCTGAAAGAATATTGACACATGAAACCTTTTTATAACCTTGAGGATTTTTATATATATGTTTTGGTTTAATTTAAGGTTATGCGTACTATCCTAAAAAAGCATTAAATAAAGCTGGTACTAAATATGATTCAAGTCGTAAGTTCTCAAAATTTATTTCTATTAAAACTGTGTCTGGTACCGTTCTGAATTCAAAAGACATTAGGTACAGGGTTCGGACACGATATGTATCTTCCATTATATACTTTATCTATAATCCAGCACCATACACCGTGCATGGCACGACACTGTACCTTGGCCATTCGGACCTCTCCGTACATGTTTATTAGTAATAGTAAGGAATTCTACGTCAGAAAGTGTACAAAGTGAGGATAATAATTTGATTTTTAACCAGTGTGGACATTAACGCCTATTTTGACGAAACCCTGAAGGTCTTAAAACATGACGTATCTGCTTATGCAAAACAACGGGGCTAGAACTTTGTCTCTGTATATTTCTATCGTAGGTTTCTACATGGGATGTTACGAAAACCCACCACGATTAGGTAAACGACTTGACTTTGGAACATTAAGGATGACCGTCGACTTATGCTGTGCAAGTTGTTTTGACTTGTACCACCACAATTTTGCTGCTGTTACAGTAAGTGGCATATGTATCAATTTAATTTCCCAATTAAGGTCCGATTCTCACATTTTCAATTTCCAAATCAGATTCAAAGCTTTCGTCTACAGTTTAAGGGGTGTTCGGGCGAAGTCATTATAGGCTGCAAATGGTAGCCAAATTGATAAATTACAGATTTAAATAAAGATGGCAATAATAACTTAGGAAAAATCCTGCTATTTCAAAGTGTTTCAAGCTATGAAATCTATGAAAAGATGTCTAAATATTATATGTAAATGAGGCCATACATAGAGATTTTATTTTTGTGTTTACAGAATGGAGCATTCTGTACATGTTTTCTTAAAGCCGACACGTTAAAAAAGATAGAAGATTTCCGATGTCAAAAAGTGAAATGTGTTAACAACGTTAAACAATTTTGTGGTGGCGAATATTCAGAGATTCGGGTGTTTAAAAAAACTCCACCATCAAGTAAGTGATACAGCTTGTTTTTGTGACAGGTAACTAAACCTGATCTGAAAGTTGTTATACTTTATTTTATCTTGTGTTCAATAGTGGACAAAGAGACAACCATTATATTCTTTTCCACCTCTAAGTCCACACGCCGAAAAGTGATGCAGACATTTTATTAATGTAATGAATTTGAAACAAGAATATTAGAATTCATGATCTCAAACCAACTGATTATGCTTCGAGGAGCCCGATTTAAATTTCTTTCAACAAATACCAACTTCCAAATTTTCCAATTCTTTAAATGGGTCGTGTGGACATCAGAGTTCAAGATCACGCAAATGATAAAATTATAGATCAAGCCTGAACTCACTCTTTGAAGAAGAAGCTTCCTACTCTGTAAATAGCCAGGTTTGAGGTCGAAATACCATTTTACTAAAACTGTTCTGTTTTAATATATAACAGGTGGCGGTGCTCCTCCTACTACCCGACTGCCTCCACATTCGACATATTTGAGACCATTTATTAGACGTAAGTACCGACATATCTTAACAAAATATCGTGTCAATTATCCATACCCTTATTTCTAAGATCTTAACTATTATTTCCACGATATCTTAACTATTATTTCCCTATTATTTCCAAGATATCTCAACTATTATTTCCAAGATATCTTAACTATTATTTCCAAGATATCTCAACTATTATTTCCAAGATATCTTAACTATTATTTCCACGATATCTCAACTATTATTTCCACGATATCTTAACTATTATTTCCAAGATATCTCAACTATTATTTCCAAGATATCTCAACTATTATTTCCAAGATATCCCAACTATTATTTCCAAGATATCTCAACTATTATTTCTAAGATATCTTAGCTATCATTTCTAGGATATCTCAACTCTTACTTTCAAGGCACTCCAATCCTCATTTCCACGATATCTCAAACATAACATCAAAGATATACCAACCCTCTTAATCTTTATATCCACGATATCACACCCTTATACCACGATATCACACCCTTATACCACGATATCACACTCTTATATCCACGATATCACACCTTTATATCCACGATATCACACCATTATATCCAAGAACCCCAACCCTTATTTCCACGATATTTTAACTCATATTTCCACGATACCGTATCCTTTATTTCCGCGGTATCTTAACCGTTATTTCCACGATATCTCAACTCTTACCTCTAGGATGCCCAAACACATACTTTCTGCTTTGTTTTTATTCTCAGCTAAAGGATGTTATGACTATTTTGATGGTGCCAAAGATAAAGTGAATAAAGATGTAAAATGCAACCCAATGCCATTACCTGACGGTCAGATGCAACAAGCAGTCCAAGTAAGACAATATCCATATTTCGCTTCACAAGGACATTAAAATGGCAAAGTTTCATTATCAAAAATGTCGTTATATATGTGCGGTTTGGACCGGAAGTACTTGGTTTATTTATTTCTAATGTATGTTATTTACATCTATGTATCCACTTGAACAAACTGAATTTGTTTTAAAAGAGTGTACTTAGTAAGCAGCTTGAACGAGGTTTGGTATAGGACCTCAGAAAGACTCGATATTTGTATTATAAACTTTTTGAATACGTATAGGTGCTTAAATCCGTACGGTAGTTTTTAACAACTCAAAAAAAGGAAAATTATAACGAAAAGTTTACGTCAACTATTTAGAAAGTTTTGGCTTAAAAACTTTCAGATATTTCTAAATTTTGGTTAATATTTTTCATAAATTTGAGCAAAACAATTTTCCTACTCACAAAAATCATATTGCACCCTTGATTATTGGAAGTCATGTCCTTTTTATTGAACGAAAGCTGTAAAATTGTTTTAACTGTTCACCAATTTATGAAAGGACATCATCAACTCAATAGTTTTATTGAAAACGTTGCAGGGAAAAAGTCGGCCAATGGGATCTGCTAGAGGAAAACAAGGACCGAACGGAGCTGGTCGAGGAGGTGCTAAACAGATGGATCGTGGCAAATTAGCTGCTGGTAACAAAAGTAAGTACATGAGTATATGATATATTATATATAGAATGAAATTGTCTCAAAATGTAGATATAAGAATATAAGTTCTACTTGTTCAACTTCAGTAGAGGCGCAGGCTGAAAGTAAGTCGGTTGTCCGAAAATCGCATAGCGTGAAACTCTGAGTAACAACCATATGTCCAAACCATACATTCGCTTACTTCTTTCATGAGACCATGTCAAATGATTCTTGATTCAAGTTCTGTTTTAATATTTGTAATATTTCTAGAATGGCATATATAAGATTTGATACGGATCTACAAAGGACGTTCAATTTGAAATTGCTGTCTTGATAATTTGCAAAATCACTATTGTATTGCAAATTTCATAGTTTCTTTGTATAATTGATTTAATAATTGTAATAGGAATGCAATAATAGCATTGGGGACGTGTTGGTGTGAAATGTTAGGTCACAAGTTCAATGGGAACGCCTTTTGGCAATGCAATGCCAGGTCACAACTTCAGCGGGTAATACCTTTTATTAAGTGCAATGTCAAGTTAATATTTCGGTGCGCATGTCTGATGAAATCTGTTTTCGTCTAGTTTGTTACTTGGTATAGTCATGAAAGTTTACAAAGATTTACAACACTAAACTAAATTTGAATATGTAATTTAGAAAAAGATACTAAAAAGAAGAAAAAAGACTCGTCAGATGCTACTTTATATGGAGTTAGTGGTGGGGTATTAGCCGTTTTGTTAATCGGATTTTGTTGTTATCGAAATAGGTAAGTAAATTACAAATGTAAACGTTTCATGACTACTGGACCCTTCCACGACAGTGATGATGGTCTAAGTCGTTTTCATGTCCCTTTTTAGAATCGATTTGTATATACTCTCTGTAAGGGAACTGATTCGAAAATTCTGTGGCAGAATGATTTTGGTTGTTATAAGCATGTCCTTCGGCGGCCATATAATAATTATATTAGTAAAATACAGACTAGTTAAGATTCTGACCTCAAAACGTGTTTCAAAGCTGTCAGGTGGTGTCAGTATGTAATCTTCTTAAACTACTGTTTGCCAAGTGATATCCTATGAAAACATATTTAATTTAACTGTTATTGAAAATATTGTTTATATCTTTCTTAACAGTAAGAAGGCAGAAGCAGAAAAGCTTGAAAAAGAAGAGAGGGAGAAAGAGGTAAAAGCTATAATTGTCTGTGTTAATTTCTTTGCTTTCCTACAATCTATACAATATGTATGATAAATATTCTGGAAACAATGATATCACACTTTGGTAAATAGTTAGGAAATCTACTTTATAAATACCTTTGGTATGATATATTAGTATATATGTTATATTTAGGATGTCTATGTTGTGTTCAGTTTAGGATGTCTATGTTGTGTTCAGTATATACGTTATATTTAGGATGTCTATGTTGTGTTCAGTATATATGTTATATTTAGGATGTCTATGTTGTGTTCAGTATATACGTTGCGTTTAATGTATCTATGTTCATTGAATACCTCGTGTTTAAGATATCCATGTTGTGTTCAATATTTACATTGCGTTCAGAATATCTGTCGTGATCCGAGCATCTATGAGTTTAAGATAATGTTTTGAGTTTATCTGCCCAAAAAATAAAAATCACTGCATCATTTATGTACCTTGTTTCGCCCCGGCAGCCCCATCTGCCCTCATTTCTCGGGTTTACATAGATCTGGTTACCTATGATCTGTATCTTGTCTTACAGGAGAGGGAAGAAAGAAAGAGGAAAAAGAAGAAAAAGAAAGAAAAAAAGAAAAAAGAGCAAGAAGAGGCAGCGAGAATGGGAATGGCGGTCAATCCAAGCTAGAATCATAGATTTGTCTAAATTTATTATATTATTGTTATATTGTATCGTATTACATTGGTTTTTGTTAACTATAAAGATGGAAACTGAATGTTTTATGTATATTGTTATATTATAAACAGCTGTATTATTTTCACATTGGGCTTATTATGAAACATAGGGAATTGAAGGGCTGGTTACAAGTCTGAAAGATATTTGACCCTCACTTCAGTACACTGTTGGTGCAACCAGCAAGGCAGGCAGGCAGCAAATGCTTATTTTCCTGACCTGGTCGCTCTAAATAGACCATAACGTTTGCTTATCATTTATATACGCCACCAATATCCAATATGTCAGAGACTTCTGGTAGACATTCATTACAATGATTGAAGACCATACTTGCTATCAGGAGTACCTTATAGCTGAGTTTGCTACTTCGCAGCACTTTTGGGGAATCCACATAGATAATGATTTTAAAAGCTTTTCCTCATTTCATTGATTGATATCAAGAAACTGGGTATATATGACACGTTTTGATTGGTTTAAAATAGCGTCAATGGAACGACACTGTGGTAGAAAAATTGTTAGATTACAATGGAGAAAAAAAAACAATCGGAAAAAAAGAACGAAATTGTAATCTTATTTAATTGGATTTGAAGGGTGGTAAACTCTATTAATTGTTTCTGTAAATTTTCTAACTATAGGCTAATCGTCGTAAGCCTACCACTATGACGTCGTGTTACTATTTATTTTCTTTGACGTAACGTCATAAACGTTACTAAGTCAATGGTCCATTATTTTGACAACCAAAAACATGGAGAACTAGGAATTTTCAGGATGTTACTTCATCACTACATTTTTATTGTTTCAATTGGTATTTCTGTCAGCTTTGCTGAACTAAGAGGTGGTCCAATTACAACACATTTAGGACTAACAAAACAGCCAAGCCATGGTAAAACAATACCCCAAAATCATAGAGGTAGGCTATGATTATTTTATGGTTATTTTTATGGTTCACCATTTATTTGGCCTTGAATCTGTAGATCTAAATAGTCTTCAGAAGTACCACAATTGTAGGAAAATCGCATAGTTCTCTCAAAACAACCTAATAATTTCACTTTTTTGTTATATTTTACTAAATGTAGGCTAAATGTACGAATAATTTTTGATTATCGAATCCTTCGTACTGATGTCACCTTTGTTGTAAATGAAGCGATTTCATTTGATTGTACAGTAGCAAATATAGCTAATAAGAGGGATCGACAGAAAATCTGTGACAACCAAGCCATAATAATTACTACAGCCATTCTGCCAAGGCTCTGATTGGCTGTATTTGCTGGCATACAATCCAATCAAATCACTGCATTTTGTGATACGAATATGGTGACTATTATAGCATTCTAACGTTTTTTACAAGCCTCTTAGGTCTGCTTTCAGCTCTATTATTCACGTTACATAGAACATGACTTGGACTGTGTCGAGACGATTGGAACGAGCGACATGTAAATGTATAGAGATTGATAGCGACCAATTCAAACCAAAGCGAATTTCCAAAATATATAAATTTGATTTTGATTTAAATTAATGATATTATCAGTTTCTCAAGTCTACAACTATTTTCAGTAAAGGGTGGTTATGGTTTCAAGGGAGAAATGGCAGCAGATCAACCGAAAAAAGTTTACAAGCCACCATTTTTCAACAATGGAGCCGATGGAGCTGTAAAAAGACGGAATAGAAGGTACTCAAACAGATATTATGATGACAGGGGTAATGAAAATAGAGATTATGACAGAAATAGAAATAGAGATTATAGAAATAATAGAATGCAAAATGATTATTCTAATGATAACAGAGATGAACAGCCTAAAAGGGTAAATGAAACTCCATTAAGCTATTCATTATGAAACTAATAAAGATTTTAAGTTTTGATGTCCGAATGACTAAGCACATCCGTAGAAGTAGGATCTCAAAATATAGAGAGAGGTTTGAAACAGAATATCTGGTTTAAAATACTTCCTTCCTCTACAATCTTCACAATGTCAAGATATTACGAACTTTGCACTCATACCTTGACTTCAATAGCCACCCTTTTTTGTATCACGCAATGCAGCGATTTTTGATTGGATTGTACGCCAGCTAATGCAACCAATCGGCGTCCTCAACAGATAGACTGTGTGTTCACAGCCTTTCTGTCGATGCCCCTGATTGGCTGTTTTCGCTGACCTACAGTCAAGGTCATAATTCAAGGTCAAGGTATAAGTCTAAAGCTGTCATGTGCTTATGTTTTGCCCGAAATTTTCCCCATTACTGCGTCCACAACACATTGACACTTGATAAATAATACCTCGGTAGCATAAAAATAGATAAGTTATATTATGAAATCTTCCAACTTTATTTAAAGTTTATGGTTTATGTTATCACCAAACCTCAATTTGAAGATTTAGGTATACATTATTGTAATAATACCAAATCGGACACTTATTAATTATGTTTTCTATTTCTTTCAGGTAGATGGATTTGCCATAAAAGGTGGGGATTTTTCTCTCTTTTTCTTCCCTATCTACCGTGCTCTTTTAACAAGGTTAACCTCGTATTTGGGACCGATGAATTAATTATTTATGATGTCACGTGATTTTCAAACCGGCCAATTAACACGTTTCTACATACTCATTTTAACGCTTTGTTATATAAATATAAACAAACTTATGTGTATTATACAATATTGTAATTATGTGTGCGTACTGAAAGTCTCATCTTCACAATGTTCAAGCTTTACTTATTTCGTCTTATACCTTGACTGCAATAACCACATTTATTGTATCACGGAATGCAGCGATTTGATTGTACGCCAGCATATACAGACAATCATAACCCTCGACGTACAGACTGTAACCATTTTGGCCTATTGAGATCTCTGATTGGCTGTTTTCGCTTAGTTACAAACCAACCAAATCGCTGCATTTACAAACTCCCTTGATACAAGATAGGTGGTTGCAGTCAATGTTTAAGACGGAGTTCGCAATAGCTTGACATTGTTAGGATGAGAAAAAATCCTAACCCGACAACAACTCTGGTCCAGTTCATCTATCACTGGTTGTGAAATATCGGCACCGTTTAGGGTCAGACATTTGATGTTGTTTGATAAATTCCGTTATAAATAAAGATAACTCGACCATTTACAGACACTGTTGCTGTAAACAAAGGGAAATTATTCACACTTAATAACCATTAGGTTATAAAAAGTTTAGTATGATGCCATCGACTCAAAACGCTTTTATAGACGCGGCCGGCAGAAAAGAACGAAAAAAGAGATTTTATTAATTTCTGTAATAATTTTTTCACAGGCGTGTAATTATTGGATGGATGCAGAGCAAGAGGATTAATTACTATATCGACATCTGATGAAATAAATATGTTAAGTTGCCCTGCTCAAGATGATATTGGCGTAATCCATCATGCCAGACTTGCCCCTTTAACTTTCGATTGGCTGTAAGCATGGTTAAATTATTCGTTATGCTGTAACCAATTCTTTTTTTTTATTGAAGGGGAGGCTGAACAAACTGAAATTAAAAAGTATGGAGGAAAAAAAAAAGCTATAATCCTTGGATCGGTTTTTGGGGCAGCACTTCTTGGGGCAATAGGATAGTAAGTGGTTTTGTTTATTTGTCGGTTATCAAAGTTGCTAGGGGGTTTCCTTACATGTACATGTAAACGTATAGCTTATATTGCACCCTTTCCTATCCAGCGTATGTGGATCCTATATTATTCTTCCAAATATTGACCAGATTATCACGCCATGTAATTTTGTAAGTATCATGTGACCTTCTAAACCTTGATGTTTTGATGCGTACGTGTGTCTTTGATGGCCGGCGAGAGATTGGAAAAATCTTGATGGGAACTAAAACAATGGCAAAACTGGTTAAATAAGATAATGGGTCATCTAATAGTAGGCCTACTGGCTAAATAAGTTCTGTTGAGATAATGGGTCATCTGATAACAATGGTTATAAAATAAGTTTAAAGTTTTAAACTCATCGCAAAGGGTCTGAACCACAGACGTCTGGCTAAAAATTGGAATGGTGCAAATTGATGCTACCAGTGTATCCGATACACATAAATAAAATTACAAAACCTCTTTACGTTCCTCTAAATATAACTTATTCAACCCGTACTACCAGATGACCCATTATCTTTGTTCAACCCACTTAACGAGCGCTATCATCTGATAATCTGGGAAAGATCAATGCCACGAAGTTTGGCCAAGGACCAGCTGGTAGAAAGGATCCTTAACTGTGAACCTAAGTTGTTATCCTTGTAAAATATATTTGCTTCTTTCTTTCTTTCTTTTCTTTCTTTCTTTTCCTTCTTTTTGTACAACTTAGTTTACCATTGCTATCAAAAAACCCATTATTTAACTTATTTAACCAATACGATCATCTGATGTATGGTTCAAATAAATTATATTAAGTTATTATTCCTCTGGTTGAATAAGTTCTTTTAATATAATGTTTCACCTGATAGTACTGGTTAAATAAGTTATATTAAGATAATAGTTCACCTGATAGTACTGGTTAAATAAGTTATATTAAGATAATAGTTCACCTGATAGTACTGGTTAAATAAGTTATTTTAAGATAATGGTTCACCTGATAGTACTGGTTAAATAAGTTCTTTTAATATAATGTTTCACCTGATAGTACTGGTTAAATAAGTTATATTAAGATAATAGTTCACCTGATAGTACTGGTTAAATAAGTTATATTAAGATAATAGTTCACCTGATAGTACTGGTTAAATAAGTTATATTAAGATAATGGTTCACCTGATAGTACTGGTTAAATAAGTTATATTAAGATAATGTTTCACCTGATAGTACTGGTTAAATAAGTTCTTTTAAGATAATGGTTCACCTGATAGTACTGGTTAAATAAGTTCTTTTAAGATAATGGTTCACCTGATAGTACTGGTTAAATAAGTTCTTTTAAGATAATGTTTCACCTGATAGCACTGGTTAAATAAGTTCTTTTAAGATAATGGTTCACCTGATAGCACTGGTTAAATAAGTTCTTTTAAGATAATGGTTCACCTGATAGCACTGGTTAAATAAGTTCTATTAAGATAATAGTTCACCTGATAGTACTGGTTAAATAAGTTCTTTTAAGATAATGGTTCACCTGATAGTACTGGTTAAATAAGTTCTTTTAAGATAATGGTTCACCTGATAGTACTGGTTAAATAAGTTCTTTTAAGAGAATGGTTCACCTGATAGCACTGGTTAAATAAGTTCTTTTAAGATAATGGTTCACCTGATAGTACTGGTTAAATAAGTTCTTTTAAGATAATGGTTCACCTGATAGTACTGGCTGGTTAAATAAGTACTTACTTCTCTGTATCTTTTCTTTATAGTCAAGTCTACATATTTAGAAAAGGTAAATCAGAGGGTGTAGCCTTGGCTCAAAAGGGTCCGGTTAAAAAGAAGGAAAAGAAGGGAAAGAAGGCCAAAGAAAATACCGATGAAAACAATGACGAAGAGGGAGGAGAGGGTGGGGCTGAAGGTGGGGGTGGGGATGAAGGTGAGGGTGGGGATGAAGGTGAGGATGGGGATGGTGGGGATGGTGGGGATGGTGGGGATGAAGGTGAGGGTGGGGATGAAGGTGAAAATGAAGGCGGGAAAGAAAAAGAAGAAGTCAAAGAGGAAGTCAAAGCGGGAGAGAAAAAGGATGTCAAAAAGAAAGTTAAAAAGGAAACCAAAGAAAAAAAAGAAAAACAGACAGCCACAAAAAAACCCGGTAAGAGCTAAGGCAAGTGATGTGTGGTTGGTTTAGGATTATAATATCTGGTCTTGACACACGTGATTCGAGCCCGCCTCGTACTTTCTAATAACAGAGAAGGGGGTAAGGCAGAGCAAGTTGTGTGTAGTTCACGGTCAGGTTTATAATAAATGTACAGCTGACCTCGACACCTATGATTCGAGCTCGTCTCGTACTATCGAATAAGAAAGAGTGAGGCTAAGGCAGAGCTACGGCAAGTGATGTGTAGTTAAAGTTCATAAGATATGTACAGCTGGCCTAGACATCCATGCTTTGCTCCCGGCTCATTATACTGTCTAATAGTTTTAAAGCTTCCTTCGTCCTTATACCTTGACTGCAACTGTCACCTTTCTTGTATCATGGATTGCAGCGATTTGATTGGATTATACGCCAACGAAAACAGCCAATCAGAGCTCTTGACAGGCTGTAAATATTATGGCTTTGTATTCATAGACTCACTGTCTAGTCTAATTGGCTGTACTTGCTAGCGTACAATCGAATCAAATCGCTTCATTTACACACTTCCATGATACAAGAAAGTTGACTATTGCAGTCAAAGTATAACAACGAAGTTCGTAATAGCTTGACATTGTGAAAATGCCAAACAAGTTATTTGCTTTTTCTGGATCTATTATTCTGCAACGATACCTAGACAAACTTTGTATAAATATGTCTCAATCTCACTGTCAAAATTGTCCATTTTGTAGGTAAAGAAAAAAATGCAAAGTAAATTATGGTACATGAAACACGAAATTGTGTATTTTATAAAACAAATAAAAACGGTATATCTTGAAGTTAAAATTGAAATAATGCCAATAAAACCTTTAGACCTAATGTTGGTTCCTTTATTTACAACTAACCCTTATAAGAATCATGTAACAACCATTCAATGTCCATACTAGATCATCGTGGTTCAACTTACTATATCAAGTAATGAACTACTATTGATAGCTGCTTTTCTCCACTATAATTCGTTAACACTGACATGTGGCGATGGGCTATATCGAATTATTACGATCGCTCTTCCAACGGATGTGAGTTATTGCCCCTGAATTGTAATCAGCATCCTCTGATGGAGATGAAGGCGTCGCAACAGAAAATTCAATGAAAAGACCCAAACTATATCCTCGTCGTAGACAGGAATAGTTTGGGCGTCAGAGACTACAGTTTCGCTTAGATTTTGACTAAAACGGGACGTTGACTTTATTTGATGGATATCGAATGGGATAGACGATCTTGATGGTTCTGTAACTTGATTTTGCTATGGTGTCAAAATTGGCTTGTTATTTCAATCGTTGTCCCAATATTGATGTAAATTTGTATAATATGATTCTTGTGTATTGGTGAGATCTCAAGATTGAGGGTCTTGGGCTTTCAGGGCCGCTCTTGACTAAGCCAAAATACGCATAAAGGAGACATTTTGTATACTCATTAGAAGTTGTTGTAAGAAACTGACAGAATGTGCACGGTAAAAGTTCATACCCACTCACCCATCACACTTGATAGTCGATAGGAAGATTGGCTCCTTCAGCGATTGAGAAGGTGTTCATGGTTCACTAATCCCACGTCCTTTCAGTCAGTAAGAAAAGCTACAATTTGGACAATTTTACAATAACCCTTACTAGTACAAATTATTATTTATCGACAATAAAGGGTATACAATCGGTCAACTCCTGATAAAGCAACCCATCTTCACAATGCCAAGCTATTACGAACTGCGTCTTATACCATGATTGCAACCTGTCTTGTATAACAGAAATTGTGAAGATGAAAGCAAACAAACATCCACAGAACTACTTTTATGACGTGTTATGATTACTCTAGGCCCATAACATAACGTCATTGACGTTACTAAGTATTCATTTATGATGACAACCAAAATCATGGCCGACAAAAACTAAAGTCATAAAAATTCTCAGGATGTTACTTTACCAGTGCTACATTTTTATTGTTTTATGTGGAATTTCTATTAGCTTTGAACTACCTCACGATAAATCTAGCATGGATATAGAAATTAAACCTAGCGCCACACTAAGTAGTAATCCTGGATCAGGCCTATCTAGAAACATAGGTCCAAAAAGAGCAAGACCCAACGATGCCCAAGGTGAGTCAAGGAACAACATTTAATCTATAGAATCTAGTTTAATATCAAGTTTGTTATTGAGTAGCCCAATCTGAAAGAAATGAGTTAAAATCTAGGTCTGTTCAATTGACCATTAGCACGTCATGGGCTTTAGGCTTAGCGAGGCTGAGCTTAGCCTAGTAATTTTTTAGCGAGGTCCTCTTCAACTAGTGTCAGGAGATAAGATAGTTCTGTAACCTATTGGTATTTATGGAAGTTGCAAGGACTTTGCCTGTAAGATTGAGTAAAGAAACCCCCGGATATTAAAAAAGGGAAATAGCTATAATTAATACGCGTAGTGTATGATTTTGAAAGAAAGAAATTCAACGTAACTTTTTTTTGATATAACTTTCAGCAAAGGGAGACAATGAAGGTTTTAAGAGGGAAATACAAGTAATGAATAACGTTCGCATGCCATCATCCTTTATTAAGGAAAATGGTGACATTATAAAGAGGATGAAAAGAAAAGCTCACTACATGCCTGCGCAACCTAAGCCTCAACAAAGTGCTCAAAAGGCCCCCAAGAAAGGTAATTTAAAGATGGGTTCCCTTATTTTCATTTATGAAAATGAAAATGCTAAAAATTATATATGAATAAAAAGAAGAGGTGTTCTAATGACTTGTAAAGATACCAGTTTGTCTCACATGTCCATAAAATAATTTCATAATTAGCTAAATTAGAAGAGAATTACCAGCAGAATTCAAATGAGTGACCGATCAAAAAGGTCAAAAAGTCTTTTTTTGTTTATCCAGACAATACATACATTGACATTTATGATTGGTTAAAACTCTTTATTATATGCAATATAAGAAAATAACGATATGATTAAGAATACATGATAATTCGGTAGAAACACCAATTAATCATATAGTTTGCTTTATTTGACACTAAAAAATAAGGAAACCCTTCTTTAACTCAACTCAATAATAACGTCATAACAAGCTCACAACTGTATGAACACTTCATTAGCCCTATTAGGTGCAGACGTTGGGCGTAAAACTTCTTTTCGCTGAAGGATTAGTGAAAACCCTTTAGACTGGTCAATAGTGCATTTCAGATTGAGTTAATTATTTCCAGAATTATTCCTATAATGGCAAGCCACACAACCTCCCCATCTTGAACAATTGCTCTATTTCTGATTTCGTTTTATTGTCGATTGTTTTCGTACAACCCTAGTTATGATTTTCATCGCGTGATGGTGCTATATAGCCCGTTTGTTCTACTTTATTGAACTTTATTACATTTCATTTTAATTCTAGAAGCCAAGCAAGAAGAAGTGAGTCCTGTACCACTTATAATAGGCATATCGATTACTGCATTCATAGTTATGTTTATATTTGTATGGTAAGTGCTCCTTTAATTCAAATATTCAATATGATTTAGAAGTTTGATTTACATGAGTGCTGGATTAGATTTAAGGAAATAAAAGTCAGCTTCAATGAATGGTTACAAATCTTTAAAAACTCTTTTAAAAGTCTATGAGTGAATTTTCAAACGGTTAAAAGTTCCAGTGGCGTTGCTATAAAATTATTGGGTGGTCGGGCCAAGTTGAGGCCACATGATTTTAAGTTTGGGGCAATAGCACCAGGCATTTTTTTGCTTAAAACGTCACTGGGGTGATCATGGTCGACCTTGCGACCATCATGATCTGAGAACAACAGGGTTCTCAGCAGATATTTACCGATGTTAAATTCAATAAAAACGTCAACTACTAGACTTTACGCCATTATTCTGATATAACCTTATTTACTTTTTACTAGGTTTTAAAACTTGTAGGAAGTATAATGAGTTTCGTTTGAAATTTCTATTTGTTTTTTGACAGTATACTTCTACGATTTAATGCGCCAGATAATGAAGACGAAGCTGCATTTGAGAACGAAACAAGAGAAATGAGAAGCTTTCAAAGAAGGAGAGGAAGATATTAAGACGGTATTTATAGGAAACTACTCGTATCAACTTCAGGACTAGAATGCTGCTAGTTACTCTCGTATATTGAACGGATATCGCCATATTGAAAATAGAGTAGTTCGATTGTTTCCGTTCAAATGACGCGATGTCTATTTTTTATTACCAGACAAGTTTGTGAATATACATTTATTTAATGGTTACTGCAAAATTTATATATTACATAATTATATACCATAATAAAACAACCAATAATTATTCATGAAATATTGTTAGTTGAGTAGGTTAATCTGAAAAGTATTTCATCAGCGACCGCGCCAAAATCACTTCGCTATTCTAGCCAATCAAAATCAATCTTCAAACAGAGTTGTCTGCTCTTGCCAAATTACCTTGTTATATTGTCAGCCTTTCATTAATAGTAAATACCTCGTAGACTGATTTGATGCATATTTTAGAAATATATTTCGGTATAATTTACGATGTTTTTGATAAAGAAAATTTGCATACATTGGCCCTTTAACAAAGGAAATGTCGGCCATCTTTGTTCTGATTCGAGTGCTTTTGAGAAGCAACTACAAATTTAACTTATGGATATGTTGTTTTAAAAATATTTGCTTTACCAGACAATAATTTCAGCCCCCCACACCACTTTTTAGATTTAAGATCCGACACTCGGTTTGCCCACTAGTAGATATAGACTCTGCAATGGGAATACGCAGATATTACCGAAATCATATAGCTATTACTATTATTAAAAGGACAGTTGTGCCATTTTAGGGGTTGGTTTGAATCTTGAATATAATATGTAGGCCTATATTCTTCAGAATTACTAGAAATCTACGAAACTCGCATAATTCCTTCAAAAATACTTCAAACTAGGAATTTCTTTTCCTGATTCTATAGATGTCTTTATTTTCATATATGGCAGTATCTCAAGAAAAGACGACTCGTCTTTTTAACTTTCAAACGAGGATAATTCTGGACATGCATATGGATTTGAAGGCTAAAATTTCGACGGTCAGCTGTGAACACAATATTACTGATTGGCTTAGCTAAAGAAAATCCCGTTTCCGAGACTAAGATACGATTGGTAAAAAAATTGCGCATCTGTCCCTTTAATTAATAGTTATTTTTGTGTTTTTTTGCAGAGGGGGGTGAAGTCGGATTTCCATTCTGATTAGTGATGTGGGGATCTGTGAATTGTTACGACAGGTAAATCGCTCATTACTCGACTTTGAACTGAAATTCGTAATAAAGCGCGATTTCTTAAAAATTTTGGATAAACAAGGCTAAACTGTACACATATCCTTCAAAAATAAAGGATCTTGACCCTCGTTTTGGTGTGTAAATCGACTACAAAAGACAGACAAAGCCATGAAATGTGATAGAGGTACTAAACAGTGTCATTGGCCGACTTTTTGTTCTTCAAATCAAACTCTCTTAAGACCTGAAGTTTTTCAACGAGCAAAAGACAGCAATACAACTTCCAAAAAGTACTTTTGGTAAAATAGTAATGATATTTAGCAGTGTGGGTCTGGGGGTATTTCTGCCCACCGATTACTTGTTCCATTGTGTTCCACATAATCATGTTTCATAAATATCGTTGATCGACCGATCATTGATTACAAAATATCTATTTTGTAGGTGAAGACTGGAATTGAAAACTGGAGAATCTGAACTTATTAACTGATAAAGATCGTGGAAAGCTTAGTTTTTTACTAATAAAAGCATTTGATTTAACAATTATAAAGAGTATTTCTTAAAAATATTTTTCTTTTTACGTTCCTCGTCTGTTCAATCGTATCTTAATCGATGGCCGGTTTATACTCCGCTAAGCGAAAGAGCGAAACGAAGATAAGTAAGCTAATGTGATATTTACATTTCTACTATCACTCCCTTCAATAAACAAGATAGCCAAACCGGCGTTTATTTTCCAATAACTGTAGTTTGTCACGTGACAATAAGGCGTATGAATACATCGAAAACGTGTGTGAGGATGTCTGTGGGTGTGTTGTGGGAGGGGCGGTGCAATCGATCAAGGATACTGAAAGGGGTGATAGAAAAGAAAAGGTAGAGGGACGTGTGCTTACTTCAAATCGTTATATTTCTTTGATTGAACCTTTGATAACTCACCAAAAGAGCAAAATTAATAAAATGGTCATGTTATGACGTCTATTATAAAATACTAACGTCATTGACGTTACTTAGTAGCCAATGATATCTGATTATGACAACCAAGCTCATTGAGGACGATTCAAACTAGAAAGGCGCAAGTCATTAAAAATCACAGGATGTTGCTTTACCAGTGCTGCATTTTTGTCGTTATTTGTGGATTATCCATCAGCTTTGAATTACCTCACGATAATGTTGGTCAAGCTAGCGCAGGTTCTAAAACAAAAATAGGGTTATCTACAAATCTAAAGCAGGATCAAGAACGCGCAAAACATAATGTAAATGAAGGTGAGTAACGTTTCTCAAGATTCTTGGCGCCTCCTTGGTGCTGAAGAATACAATTTTCTGTTGTGCATTAGATATAGATCTATTTTAAATCATTTTATTTTAACAGTAGAAAATGTTGATCACGATTAGTCTTTCAAATTGCCTAAAATGCAGGATTTAAGCCTTTTTTTAAAAATTTCTTCATGATTTAAAATGCAACATGGTGTGAAAGACAGGTTTACGAATATAACCAATGAAAAACATAAATAATGGGTTGAGTCTTAGTAATACCCGGAACTATTGAACTATTTAACAGATTTAACAGAACGTCAAGATAAAAGAAAACAATAGTCCTAGACTGGAACATCTTTACAATGTCAAGCTATTACGAACTTCATCGTATACCTTGACTGCAATAGTCACCTTTCTTGTATCACGAAATGCAGCGATTTGATTGGATTGAGCTCAACGAATACAGCCAATCATACAATCCAATCAAATTGCTGCATTTTCAAACTGCTGCCATAGCCTACAAGGTATAAGATGAAGTTGACATTTTGTAGATGAGACTGGACAACGTCAGTTGAAGTTCAAAAGAAGAAAGTAGCTTGCTCTGTAGTATTAGTTTTTATTTTCAGTAGTAAAGGCAAATAATGATGTTTTCAAGAAAGAAATACATCAACAAATTCCAATGAACATGCATAAACAACCTTCCGTAAACAATGAAAATGATGGTCTTATCAAGAGGATAAAAAGAAAAGCTAAGGCAAAACCCAAGGGTAATTCAATTTTAATCTTTATTTTGTTAATGCTAGCTCTTGGATTTGTTTGCAAAATAGCAAACTCATGGCGTGGTGAAAATCAAACAGAAAGAAATAAATTCATTAAGTTACCATCATCAGACTCAGACTTATCGAACTCTCTTGTTTTAGAAATTTGGGCGACCTCAGATATTTCGCCCTCCGTCGGACGTAAACCTGACTCTGCCACTGCAGAGGCTAAAGAAATGAATTTTTTCCCTAATTTAGACCGGTTTCGATAGATTTTTAATCTGAACAGGCCTGTATTTCATCAAAAGGGCTATAAATAGAGCATCCGATGATCTTATGGATGACTACGTGACCAGAGGACCAGAGGTGCCATGTACCATCCCGCCTATTGCTTGTCATTCTTCTTGCCGATGAACTAGCTAAAGAACACCAATGTTTTGCATTAATGTTTTAAAACGAGCACAAGTTTGTCTTTACGTTAGATATTGCATTTTTCATGTTGAATGCAGCAGTATTTCCACTTTTCTGGTTAGACAAATCTAATTATTCTTCCACTTGTATATGGAATCTAAATCTATTATTACTATCTTATCATTGTAGCTCAAAAGAAGAAAAATTCAAGTGGTAGGGTGAAAATGATTATTATGATAGTTGTAGGTGTTACTGTATTTGTAGGTGCAGCCGTCGGTATATAGTAAGTATTGTTATTTTTTCTTTTTTATTTCATTTTTATTTCCCCATCTTACAAAAGTCACAAACTGCGCACTTTTATAGAATACAGACTTGTATTTTTCTAATTGATTGACAAATTTAAAATAAATTCTAAATTTATATTTAGAGAATGCAATAAGTTAAGAGACAATTCCATGCATAGAGTAAACATTTAACCTATTCTTAGAACTGTATGATTCAAATTTCGAATTTATTCAGATTCCTCCAAAATTTATCAGATTATCTTCAAACCATTAAAACCATCATGATTATTCTTTCATGCATTAACGCATGCACTGCACAACTATCGTTTGTGTACCTATAGATCTCTATGACAATATCGGTTCAAACCAACTAAGATATGTCAATATACTTTACACGCATCTAAAGTTAAGAAGCATTTCTAAATTCACAATTTTACCTTTTTTTTTACAGCAAAGTGGCAACTGGTGGCGGGGAGGATTAGAAAGATGACAAATCTGTGTTTGCGACAAGGGAAGCGAATATATTTTTAGTAGTATCGTTAATGGTAACAGTAGCAACCCTTAAGGAATAAGATCTATATTTTGCAACTTTATGGTATCATGATCGAAAAAATCAACTTGGGCGGTTATTGTCCATATGTTATATCTTGTAATTGAGAAAAAAATGTTGAAAAATGAATAATTGTTTTATTTAGAATGGCTTATCAATGGGATCTCGAAAATGAAAGAAAGTTTTATTTACTGTTAGTCCAATCAGGAAATTGTTCGATGACAGAAACAATAGCCCATTTCGGTAACATTTGGAAGCACACTGGGTTAATCCGAAAGTACTGGCTGGTATAATATCCCTAGTATTTGATTAGCCTACAGCTACAGAAGCAAAAGGAAGTAGAATATTGTACGGATTGCGATGATATATATAGGCCTATCTTAATCTCCTCCAATAATGGAGATTTACAAGAGCATACAAAAGCAGCATTGAGATCGATAATGGAATAATCGGAGACGGCCAATTACCGCCAAACATCTACAGCTGTTGGTCGGAGTCAGTTTTTTTTCGCCCAATATCGTCCCTAATTTATTCCCATTTTAGCCCCTTTCCATATCTCCCCTTCTATTTGTGTTCTTTTCCGCTTCGTCCCTTCCTAATTCGCCTTCCCGTATCGCCTCTTCCCATTTCGCCCCTTCCCATTATGTCCCTTTCCGATTCGCACCTCATTCGTTTTGCCCATTTCAATTTTGAAGCAGAGCTAATATTTGACAATATCTTTGTGACTCTCTGATCACATGGTAGCTGTGTTAGAGTTAATTTCTACCATGTAGTTTACATCAGATCAGATTGTGTAAACCAATTACTTGTCTCAAATATATTTTTGATTGAGCACTTTTCATTATAGCATTATAATCATTAATGTAGTCTTATCCTTCATTTTGACTGGTTAACTCAGATGTGGTGACCGTACGAATCACATCAGGGTGAGCACTTTTTGGAATCTCCTGGCAACAGTCAATGTTTGCCTGTTTCAGTCCCTCTGCTTTATGCTCACTTTAGACTTGGATCTGGGAGAATATTGTAGCTGTTATACAACTAGGATTTTGCATGTTCTTCCATTCTTTGGATAGTACTATATAATATGATACTCTAACAATATTTCTTCAGTATTTTCAGGTAGGTCTATGAGTATTTCATATCGTCATGGTTTAGGGAAGGTGGAGGTGGGACAGTGTAGGTGTCTATAGTATGATTGCATACTTATATCATATCACATTTTTATTTTACTCTTGATTTATTACATTGCAAAATTATATAAGCTTACAGTCTTAAGGTTAAACTTTAACTGAAAAGGACAAGTAGGCCATATTTTGTCACCAATCATACTTTAATCTCGGAATCTCGGAGCTAAGTCAACTAGTTAGTGTTAAAAACTCACCGTCGAAATTTGAGCCTTCAAATCCATGTGTGTCCAGAATTATCCGCAATTGAATGTTAAAATGACCACTCGTCCTGTGATATATGGAAAAGACATATTTAGGAAAAGTGAATAAAATTCCTAGATTGAAATATTTTTAAAGGAATTATGCGATTTACGTACATTTCTAGTACTTCCGAAGACTATTTACATAATATGTTCAAGATTAAAATCAACCCCCCAAAATGACGCATCAGTCCCTTTAAGTTAGTTTTGTCTTAATACTCCGTTACGGGGTAGGTTATTAATTCAGTTATTTACAATACAATAAATAATACAATAAATTTTTATTCAGTTATATATTTTGAACAGCAGACATTTTCATACTGTACCATATGACTGGAAATAATGTAGTTACCTCCCTTTATGACAGCCCCTATTAGTTGTATATCATTATTATATCTGTAAGCTATGTTAAACTGACTATATATTTTAACGGTTGTACTTTATTGTTAATTTTGTAAATATATATTTCAGGGTTTAATGAAACATAAAACTGGTTTGTGTTTTTCGTACCGCAATACCGGGATATTACATTTGGCACCTTTTTTATTTCACCCCTCTCCCGTTCCGCCCATTACACATTACACATCATGAAATGTGATGATATATCGGACAAAATCGAAAAAAAAAGATATGTCAATGACCTTTGTCCTCTTATTGCTCTTGATTTAGTGAAAACTTGTAAACTTCCGCTTGTTAGCATAATAGATGCTAGATACGCCTTTGTGAATTCATGAGATCCCAGTCAAGTCAAACCTCAGTAAGGCTAAAGTTTTCGAGACTCAGTGGACATATGCTTAAATGTAGATCAAACAGTATTAAAAGTTGACGGACAGTTTTTACGGACAGTTTTAAGTCTCAAAAAGTTTCACGAAAATATCCCAGAACTCCCGTGTCTGAACAATGTTTACAAGACAAAAATCCCTAAAACTTGCATGGGCCGACACTTAAAAATAAAAAGACAATAAAAAAAACAATTCCTGTAAGTTTGAAAGAAAATATCTCAAAAACTCCAGTCCGTAGTGTGGTCACAAGAAAACAATTCCGAAAACTTGCTAGAGCCGGGTGCCTATGTTTTGGTGTTTTTATGACGTTAATATAATCTTTATGACGTTACGTGGTTACTAATTAACATCTCTTTATTCTACTTTTTCACAACAAGAAAAAACAGTGGACTTAAAAGGCATGAAAACAGTTCACCTGCAAGTTTTTTTTATTTTACTAGGCCTACTAGCATTTTCTAGCGCCTTAATATTGCATCACCATGACTATAATGGAAACTCTCTCTTAAACGAATCGAGAAATGGCCTTGGAAATGGTGTAGATCCTAACAAGACTAGGTTGAGAAGAAGAAGAAATATTGTTGGCCAACTTGATCTTGATCTAGATCTACCACTATCAGATCTAAGCCATCCAAGATTTAAAAGCGGTAAGTTAGCATTCAAATAATATTTGATAAATAATCTCTAGGTCATTAAAGACTCCGGTCACAACGAAATGTTCAAGGGTTACAGGGTGACTTGATGCGAACAAAACGAAAGCGGCAGCATTGCCCAATATATCGGGGTTCGATTGTAACAACTAGGTTTAAAAAAAATTCCCATAAAATTCCAGCAGACAACCTGTCAACATAGCTATCAGGGGGAAGATGTTTCGGATTCAAAGCATAGTGGATATATCTATATTTTGTTATATAATATTTGTTCATACTAACAAGGTATAAGCTTGTCTATAATCTAATTCCAGCGAAAAATAATGGTGGTAAACATCTTAAAGGATCTAAACCCGATTTTACTAAAAATAAGTATGTAAAATCAAAAAATGATACAGCAGTGGCCAAAATGGTGGAAAGTAAGTTATTTTGTACTATATAGACTTTAACCATTATACAAACTTATTCTGAATAATTATAATATATAGTATTTTCTCAAGAGTACAAGAGGTCAATTGAAATTCAAAAGACAAAAGTAGCTTGTTCTTTAATTATAGTTTTTTTTTTTTCAGTAAAGGGAAACACTGATGGTTTGAAAAACGAAATACAAGTTCCGATTAACATTCACAAACAACCTTCCGTAAACAATGTAAATGATAGCCTTATCAAAAGGATAAAAAGAACCAACCAACCAACGATTATATACGGAAAAAGAGAAAAACGAAAAAAAAAACCAAGAATTGAGGATGCGCAGGTGATGTTAAAGAGACAGGAGAAGGCCAAGGGTAATTTCTGACATACATCTATGTCATACAGAAAAATTAAATTCATTAAGTTACCATCATAAGAGGCCGTAGAAAATGTAAAAATGAACTCCAATTCAGGAAAGGACACCAAATGATCTTACGGACTCGTCCATGACCAGAAGACCACAGGTGCCGTGTACCATTCAGATGGCCTGCCATCTTACCGATAGACTGGAAAACGAATACCACAAATGTCAAGTGTTGAAAAGTGTGTACGAGCTGTCTGTCTTTCCCAAACTTACTTTAGATTTCGGGGGAGGAACAAATACAATTACAGTACAGTGTAACAGAAATGAGACGCGAATAAGGTCTATCATTCCAATTTTCAATTAGACGTCTGTGGTTCCTAAAATTCCACTAAAACTATGTATTTGAGGATGTCACAAATCGCGTCTTATTCGCATATTTTGTGAATCAAACTCTTATTTTTGTGGAATTGCAAGAACCATCCATGTCTGATTCAAAATTGGAAATGTGCAAATTGTTGCTATCAGTGTCCCGGATACACATTAAAATCTTAGAAAATCTCTTTCCAATCCTTGTAATTACTATCTTATCATTATAGCTGATGCAGAGAAGAAAAAAAAAGAGGATGAAAGTACCCAAGCTACTATCAAAATGGCACTGATGGGTGTAATAGGTGTTGTTTCCTTCATACTTGTAATCGTGTGTGTACGGTAAGTGTTACTGTTTTCTTTTATTTTAGTTGCTGCCGAATGACATCAAGTTAATGTTAAAAGTTTAGAGATAGGTCCCTGCATCAAGTCTAAATTGAATATTCTTTGATATATGCGAAAAACTTTTGAATTTGTTCAGTTATTTAATAATTAAATAATCTTTAATCTTATAATTAAATTATCAAATTATCTATAACGTATGCATTAATGTATGTAACGCATATAGTTACCTTTGCCGATAGGACTATCGATTGTGTAGCTTTGTATGCTAATACACAGACATCCAAACTCACAATTCTACCTTTTTTCTATTACAGCAAAGTTGCATGCTAATGCAGTGTAGTAAAAGGCAAACGTTTGGGACAAGGGAAACGAATGTCTTTGGTATTGCCGGTTATGGCAATAGTAGCAAAACTAAAAGATTAAGATCTTTATCCTGCATCTCTATGGTCATCTTCACAATGTCAAGCTATTACGAACCTCGCACTTACACTTTGACTGCAATAACCACCATTCTTGTATAATGGAATGCAGTGATTTGAATGGTGTATACGCCAGCGAATACAGTCAATCAGAAAGGCTGTTATCATTATGACTTTGTGTTCACAAACTTATTGAGGAATCTGATAGGATGTACTTGCTAACTTACAATTTTATTAAATCGCTTCATTTACAAACTTCAATGATTCAAGAATGGTGACTATTGCAGTTAAGGTATAAGTACTAAGTTCGTAATAGCTTGACATTTTGAAGATGCCTTATGGTACCATGATTGAAAAATTCAACTTCGGCGGCTATCTGGTTATTGTTCACGCTTAAAAATTTGATGTAGTATCTTGTATTTGAAAAAAAGTTAAACAATTAATTATTATTTTAATCAAAATGCTTTTCTATGGGGACTCGTTCTGAACAAGACATAAAATGCCCCTTTGATCTATTTTGGCCTCAGTATAGATAATTTTTTTGTGTCAAAGCTAACTTAAAATAATTACCGTATATTCTAATTGCCCCTGTGCTACACAATGCCACAATACCGTCGAGGGGTATGCTTTTCCATTCTTCGTACAACTCCATTTTAGCCTACCCTCAACTGTATTGTGGTACTGTATCGATTACTAGGAAATCGTAATTAGGATTTTGTCATGGTGAAAATTCTCAAAAACTTACCAGCCAAAAATGGACCGGAGCTTTTCCCACCCCAATAAATTGTGACATTGATTCTATGTTTGGCCAAAAATGTGACGAACTCCCATTCGTATAATCTTGGAGTAATGTCCAAGAAACAGATGGAACCAAATAATATCGGATTAGCTTATTCGGTGTTGCCTGTTTAGAGCAAAGTTATTTTTGAATTTCTGGAGTGCCCAAGATTCTTCAGTCTTTTCGTTTTTAACGTTAATTTCTTTTGCCCGCTTATATTGTATTTCTAAAATTATTAAAACAAAATTAAGCGTAAAGCTCAAATCTACGGATGCCTGTATTTTTCCTGTTCTATGACGTTTCAAATAATGAACTTTATGACGTTACGTGATTTTGGTTACTTAAACAACCCTTTATTTCGACAACAAACAAAATGGTGGACTAAAACATGAAAACACTTCTCCGGAACGTTTTTTTGATTTTACTGGGACTACTAGCGTTTTCTAACGCTTTAATATTGCATCACTATGACTATAATGGAAAATCTCTATTAAATGAAACGAGAAATATACTTTTTAATGGATTGACCAATTCAACTAGGTTAAGGAGAAATGTGGGTGTACAACTTGCTCTTGAGCTACCACCATCCGATAAAAGTCATTCAAGATATAAAAGAGGTAAGTCAAAATTTCAAGTCTTTTTGGATATTTAGACAGCTGGTCGTGCTCGACTTCATATCGCCATAACAGGAACACGCGAATAACTATCATATTTCATAATCGAGCATGCCCCGTCGTAAGGGTGGGGTCAGCAAGTGAGAATTAAGCCCCTGCAAAACTTTCTTCAGTTCAGCAGAGACAGATTCAATTACAGAATCTTTATACAAAATCAAAAAGATAAAGATTTTGATGCATTTTTAGCACCTCAAAATTGTTCTCTGTCTGGGCCTTAATTCTTCAAATTTTCTCAATACAAAATCTGAGCCCCACCACCAATTCATTCCTGGCGACGGGGCTGAATCGAGCTATAGGCTAATCGTTATTTTCCCCTTCGTTTCGATGTTTTAATTCACTGTACTAAAAACATTGTACTACTGATTCAAATTGCGGAATGTGTAGAAGAATATGAAACGAAATAATTTTTTCACGATAACAAAGGCCTGCTATTTGTCAACTTTTCATAATGTTAAATATGTTACAAAATGATATTATACGTAACAATTTCACCTTAACTGTAGACCTAATTATTATAAATTTAGCTTATAAGCAATTGAATTTGATTTTGACGGATTGCCAAGCCTTACTTCTCCACAGCTACTTTTTTCTGATCTAACTGAACAACCAAGAAACTAATCATATTTAATGAAAAAACTCTATGCCCCATAAAGTAGGTCTACATATTGATACTGAATAAGCTTGTCCGTTTTATAATTTTAGTTCCGGCGAAGAGTAAAACGAAAAAGCCTGTTGATGAAGTCAAGATACATAAGAAAGAGAAACAAATTAAAAGAGCTAAACCTGTTCTTAGTATAAAAAGGGAGGTGGAAATAAAGACCAAATCAAAAAATGACACAGCATTGAACCAAGTGGTGAAAAGTAAGACTTTCATCATATTAGGAAGGAGAGCCCAGTTATAATTACGGAATGCAGTAGCGTGCGTGACCATAATGTCCTTTTTAGTATCACTAGATCCTACTTTTACATATGATAGTATAGTTCCCAACAATAAAGGTTTTAAGTAGCTGTTTAGAGATTTTGCTTGTTGTTATCAGAATGCCAGTTTTGATCTAAGACTGTATTACTATTGAAATATTTAGGTGAAGGAGAAATTGGAGTGTCATTTACAACCATCTTGATTATCGTGGTGATTATTGTTTGTTGTTGCAGGTAAATAGTCTAACTTTCTTTATAATAAACAATATTTCTTCCATTTAATTTGAACCAGAAAAACTTCTTCTTCGGGTAGTTGCAACTTGTCTTGAAAGATAATAACACTTCATAAATATTCCAGGATACAACCAATGTAAAGCAAGGTCGTCCCAGAGTTATAGTACCAGTGGCGTATTTAGGCTGAAATTATTGGGCCATGCATTTTTTCAAAATTCGACATATTAAGTCGAAAATGGCTGGGAATTACGTTCGTGTAAACTATGTTATTTCCATGTAAATGAAATGAAATGAATGGGGTTTTACGTCCTACTTTGCACCATGTGGTCTAATGAAGACGTGCAACGCCATGCATCACTGTCAGGTGGGAGGAAACCGGGTTGAAAAAAATTCGAAGGTATTATCTCGACCTTTGCCGGCATTGAACACTGTACCTTCATGTTAGCAAGCAAGCATCTAACTCACTGAGCCACCGCGGATCCCATTTATTCCACGTAAGAACCATACGTAATTAGTATGTCGGATACTCGTCATTAAGAGTAAAATGCTGCTTTCATATATTCTACCATCTTTTATTTGCAGGTCAAAATCAGATAGAACGATAAAGGTAATAATTATTTTTAATCAAAATTAAAAATTCATTTTTTATTTAATTTTTTTGGTTTGGTAATGTTTGGTTTGATTTTTTTAATTCATGAAAATAATACGCAGAGTGGGGGTGAAGAAAAACACCCAATTATTTCATTTTATACCAATTGGTCAGATAACATTGTTTATGTAATTTTGTGCAGGAGATAGAGAAGGAGAAGGAGAATCAAAGGAAGGAGAAGCAAAAGAAGGACAAGGAAAATAAACATAAGGAAAAGAAAGAGAAAAAGAAAAAGAAAAAGGATGAAACAAATGTAAAACCAATACAAACTTTTAACACGAATAGAATGGGACAAAATATGGGACAGATGGGACAGATGGGACATATGCAACAAATGTCACAACTTTTACAATTACAACAAATGGGAAGCGGGAAAATGGATATGGAAGCGATTAGAAAGATGGAGGAAGAATTGATAGGCCTACAAAATGCAGAAATAATAGCAGAAAAAAGGAGGAAAATTCTTATGAATAACATGATGATGTCTTCCTATCAATAAACTTATGAACCATGGTCATATTTCTTCATATAGGTCTACATCTTTGTATAATTTTATTTGTATTTTGGTCCAATATAAGCTTACTTTTGGCTAAAAACTTTATAGAGGAAATAAAATTTTGTAATGAATTGAAAGGGATTATAACAATAGTTAAAGGACAGGATGTGGAACAGGGTGATTCAGTCTATTACTTACACATCATCAACGGATAATCAAAATAAAAAGTCTCTTAAAAAGACGACTAGTTAACATAAATTTCAAACTTAGATAATTATGGATACACTTGGATTTAAAAGCTTAAATTTGGACGGTAAACTGGGAACATTATTACTGATTAGTTTAGCGGACCAAGGTATCATTTACACCCGGCTATGCCGCAATTCTCCCTTTAATAAATGAATGACAAATTGTGGGACAGCAAACCGAAAGTACAACAATATGAAAATATAAATCTGACAGCCTGTGGGTACGCTGTTCCACAATTCGGCATTATTAGGCCTACCAAGATACGTGGGTGCTACCTGGCCAATGTTGGGAATTTAAGATAAACCTACCCGAATTCAACCCAAGCACCTTAAGCACCGGCAGCATTAATGTTTATATTCTACAATATATGCTACCAGTGCTTATGCCTTAAGGAACGTGGGGCCAACAAATCTGACTTTTTTAGTAGACGATGATAAACTCTCGAGTAGGCTACAAAGTAACTGTGAAGAGATTTAATCAGGGGCCTTATTCTCGAAAACTTAACTAAAATAAAATCAAGATTTTAAGAAATACAGTTATCTGATTGGATAATAAAACTGAATTTAAAATTGATTTTAGTGATTGACCAATCAGATCACTGGAACACTAAAATCATTTTAGGTTAAGTTTTCGAGAATAAGGTCCCAGGACATCAACTCAAGAGACTGAGTAGGCCGCAGTAGGAGCCTAGAAATATTTAGCCTATTTTCTTTTTCTTCCATAGCTTCATATATTAAAAAGTTGCCGGTAACTGAAACCAAACCAATATATTCATTAGTTTGTTTTGCAGAGGAATTACAGGATTTGATACTTGGGCAATATTGTATCGATGCCAAAAAATGGAAAACTTGTCATGTAGTATTGGCAATATGACGTCAGTATAATATTACGTCATGATCGCTTGGTAACCTTTCCAAGATGGCAGACAAAAAGTACAAGATCGTGGAGAAGCCGGAAGTGAATAGATTAACAATTTGGCTTATTGTTGTTGTATTTTTGTGTTGTAATGGTGTTGTTTTAGCAGAAGAAGCAGGGTCTACTAGTAATCAGTTATCAAGAGTCGAAAGAGAAGCTGATAAAGGCCATTTTGCATGTGTTGATTTAGAAGATGACGATATCAAAAGTAAAAAGAGGACATCCGTGGGACCATGTATAGACTTTTGTTGGAAGATAAGAAAGTACTGGGCCTTATTAAGGAAAGGAGATCAATGTTCTTGTATAAACAAAAATGACCAATATAAAGAAGTCGATACATCAAAATGCAATAAAAGATGTGTAGCGAAAAACAAATGGCGACAAAATTGTGGTGGAAAAAATCACTTCAGTAAATACAGCACAGGTTTGTATATTATTTAAGATATAACTATAAGCTTATTGAATGGCCTGTTTCGTAACTGTTTTTACCTTTTAGACATGATCGGAATAGGTCAGCTAAACATCTTAACTCCTAAAACATAGAAACAATTTTGAATACGGGTTATTGTCTGCAAGTTTTGTCTTAAATGGTTCAATATATTCTTTTATTTCTAGGCTACGTCAAGGAGCCAGATTTTGACGCATTTGACAAATTTCAGTTGAAAAACTGTGAGTATAATCCGTTATTTCTTAATAGAATATCAATGTGATTTTTAATCTTAAAATTATTGCTCAGATTATTGGTTTTTTCTTCTCACTGTAGACACTTTAATTCACTCGTTTAACTCAAACACTGAATAATCTTCATGTGCATTTCATTCGAAAAAAAAACCGTACAGATTCTTCATCCGAATATAACATTCAATTTTAGTACGACAGGGCTGCTTTAAACAGAAAAAAGCTCTAACAGGTATAGAATTACAAACAGAAAGACTAGAGCAGAGCATGTGTATTGAATTCTGTTTATATAAGCAATTCAAATACGCCATAATATCGGTAAGTGATCTTATGTGGTTTGTCAAATTTTCGCATGTAATATGGTTTTCAAATTAGTAAGTTCTAAAAACTATTCCAAAAGATCACGAAAAAGGTCAAAAATGATCACAACCAAACTCAATAATAATAAAGTTCACTAGTATACATCATTATTACTAGTAGGCTACTTTGAAAGAGTCAAAAATTTTATTTATCGCAAATTCCCTTTACCCTTCATTGATGTACCGTTAACAGTAGGTTCGCAACAATTTGTGACCAATTTGCTGTGTGACTAAACACAAAATTGAAAATGACCATGGCCTAATTTCCTTTTCATCATAATGCCTTGTTATGTTAATGAAAGTTTCCATATAATTTTTGTTTCAGAATGGAGATCTATGTAAGTGTATCAGCAATGGAAACGGATATTTTGCTCCAACCAAAGCAAAGTGTTCCGTCCCGTGTTCGGGAAATAAGAAATTTAAATGTGGCGGGACGGGTAAAACCTTCCATGTTTATAAGACAGGTAAGAATAAGCAGGTCGAACGTAGTCATTTTCTTGTGTTTTACTTCTATCTCCATCTCGGAGTGAGAAACATACATGCCGCAAACAATGTAATTAATACATGTTCATACCCAGTTTAATTAGATCAACATTATGGTATTTAATTTTATCACATATTACAACAACATGTATCGTTACAGGATATCATTCTGGTGCTGGCGAGATGGAATATGATAAGAGATTTGAAGATTTGTCATGGGCAAACTCCACTAAATTGGGTAAAACTATGATGTTTTAATAATCCTTTCTTTAAAACATCGAACATCTAGATAACTCTTGCTTATTCTTTGTACGTTTTGATATTTATATAAATATATATAGATTTATTACTCAATGAGCTCATTTAAAGCTGTTGTAGTCAAAGAACGATAGCACAACCGATGAGCCTGCTAATATTCATAAAAACTGTCTTCCCATCAATATTTTATTTGTCCTTTAGTTTCGGTTGTTTATTCCATTGTCGATTCAAATTGTGGAATGCATAATAAAACGCCATATATTTATGACATTATGTTCGTTAACTATTAGTTTGAAGAAATACTCTTTATAAACATTTCAGAAAGTAAAGAATATAACTTTTTTAACACCAAAACTGATTCAAAGAGCAAAAAGAAAAGACAAGGAAAGGGAAGAGTTGGAAAGAAAGGGGGTAGTAAAAGGAAGAGGAAACAGAGGAAAGGGTAGTTGAACTAACTGCCACTTCTTTTATTGACATTTTACAATTGATGCTGAATTGATAACACCGAAACTTGTCAATGTCACAACAGGTTGGTGATAGGTTTTGCAATATGACCAGTTACAGAATATAGACCTAAAGTTGTTTTAGAAATACCTGTGATAGTTCTTTAGTTAAATAAAACATTCAATTGTTTAAAAGCATTGTTTTTTTGTCACTGAAACTTGGGCCAATCAACCCTCTCTTGGTTTTTGTATAATACTGAATCGTGGTGCATACATAATTCTCCAGTTACATAAACACCATTGTGTGTTGTCCCGAAATTGTCAAGGAAAATAAGTCTTATTTACAATCGAATGGTGTCGGATGAACGTTAATCGTAAGATTGTGAATGAAAACATTGGACCTTTCTTTGAGGACTGGACTGGATGGGAAATGCCGTGAAATGCCCTAAGTTTGCCTCTTTTCAAATCTACGAAAGATGATAAAAGCTTTCACCAGAACTGTTCGTTTTTTTCTCTGCTAGTAGCTCATATAAATTACAGATTTTGGAATGCTAGTAGAGAAACTTAGGTACAGTCCCAAATGCGTCTTTCAAAGGCTATTTATCAGAGTCAGCGACAGGTAAAGTATAATCACAGCCAATTCTTAAACTAATAGCAGAAGGAAAGGTCGCAAGGCTACCATTAATAGCCTATTACCAGCTGTTAGGGAGCTGGATTTGGTATTTGGTTAGTGGCTTGATTAATCTTTGTATGGTCATTAAGTTTTTTAACACACAACGGGACCCTTTGTAAGTATTAAACAGTAAACAGTGCTTATTTTTGACCAAATTTTAAAATTTGAATTCATTATTTGCTTGGTAAACTGATAAAGATCTCAAATCGAGCAATCTGCTTAACTATCGACGTTCGATATGTCTACAAAAAGTCCTAAATAAAATTAGTGCTGGGCCTTTTATAGTCCCCATGAACTTTCTTGCTGACATGTCCTACGACGTCATAAACGGCTTCAGGCTTTAGACTAGACATTTTTTTTATCTGATTGTAGACGGACTAGACATCTTGATATAATTATGTATTCAAATTGTGACGTCATTTCCATTATTGCGTCACGATTACTTAGTTACGTTTTCAAGATGGTGGATTAAGAATAACTATGAAAAGGAAGAAGGTCAATCTATTGACTTTTTGGATTGTCGGTGCTGTATTTGTTTGTTATAGTGTAGGATCAGTACAGGCAACTGGAGCGTATCCTTCGACTTCCTATGTTAACACTCCAAAACATTCCAAGATTCAAATAACTAGGCCTAAATTTGGAGCATCTGGTTTCTTGGGTGAGTAAACAAACAATTTTTTCGTGAGGTCCAGGGATAGATCTATAAACTTATAATATTCGTTGGTTATAAGGCCAAAACCACAAAGAGAATCATGATTAGGTCTTTTAATAGAGAAATGAGAAAAGTCACGTTTACTTTTGTATTTTGTTAAATAAACCAATCTGAGAAAGTTCAGATGTGTGCGGACGATAAGCCCCAAGATCCGTTTGTTATTATGGTGAAACTCTGAACTGCATCTTTCTTCATATTACCGGCCTACTAAGTTAATAATTTAATAATATTAACATAGGATAGGTTGTTCCTAATATACTGAGGACGTTTTAGCTCCACGCATGTTTTTGACAAAATAAAAATCACTTTATTACAGACTCATGGGTACAAGTAAACGATATAAATCTACCAACAGACCTTGCGACAGCTAGTGGTGGATTGAGGAACATTCTAGAGGCCAATTCAACTTTCAACGGTGACAAGAAAAGTAACAGAGTAAAACGAAGATCAGGCGGAGTTGAGTTTGAATGTGTTGCTCTAAATAACAACGTAAAACGTGTTACGAAAACTTCGGTTGGACCATGCGTAGAATATTGTTGGACGGTCAGAAAAACCTTGGCTTTGTTACAGAGAAATGACCAATGTTCCTGTATAAACAACAACGATGACTATACAGTTGTTGATATTTCAAAATGCAACACAAAATGTACAGATGAGAAAAAACAAAATTGTGGTGGAGAATATAATTTTGGCAAATATAGAACAGGTTTGTATTATATCGATTTTGTCGAAAGTTAAAGGTTTACTCGCCCTTCTTCATTTTGGCCACAGAAAACTGTAAGGAAGTTTGAGTCAGTACTATATCGCTTTTTTTACTTTTCTTTTGATAATTGTTTGTTAACTGCGTACTGCAAGTGGTGTTTTCCGTATCATCGGACTTTAAAGTTGATCTGGTTATAATTCTAATTAAGCTGAACTACTCAAATCCGACCAAAAACAAATTTTTTTTCGCTCCTGTAAGTAAATTGATGAACAATGTGAAATATCACGAACAAGCCCTATAGCCCTTTGTATTTCCAGGTTACATTAGAGAACCAAGGTTCAATAGAGACAGCGAAACCGCAGTAAGAAAGGGTGAGTTTTAATATAAAGTTTCTTCAGTGATTTTTCCCATTAGCTATTCTAATGAAATGTGGCAAAACCAGTAACCTGCCAACCTGGTAAGCCGAGCATGCTGTTAATGAGGTTTGAAATTTTTGCTTCGAGATATGAACGCAGGATAGGAGTTCAACTCCGGGAGGTTTTAGTTTACCCTGGTTCTTTTACATCATGTTGGTTGGTTTCTTAAAGCATCCGGAGCCCGAAAACGGGTTTTAACGGTCATATTAAACCGTATTAAACTAAGCCCATTACACTTCGGTATGTTGGCGTGGAAATGAGATTGGAGTTTTTTAAACCTGTCCAATCAGATCGGTAGAAAGGAAATGAGGCCGGGAAAACAAAACAAGTCGATTTGCCGCCACTCGTTTGAAGAGATAAGAATAAGTTCTTTCAACTTTCCAAAGTAACTACACTTACACGCCTCATTCGCTTCGCGAACATTGCGTCATAACGATTGATATAATTTGAGATTTCCTAGAACAATTCCAGGGCCTATTTTAATTGGACAATATTTCTGAATAAGTAATTTTGTATTGCCACGGCCCCGTGGACGTATGACGAATTGGGGTGTGGTTTGGATACGATATATCCCTAGCTATCCCGTGAAAACTTGTTTATATCAATACTGACCCTGATAGCTTAGCTATCCGTTTAAAAACCAGAACCCCGGATTCACAGATCGTTGGGCTGGCCCATTTCCATATAAATAAGTTTGGGTTGATCAGTTTAAATGGACTATATACTCGAAAAACAGAAATCTCGCCGATCTGCCAAATAATAATTGACATTTATTGAAAAAGATAAATGATTAATATTTATTGCACTAAGCAGTTGCTTAATTATATGATACTTATTTGTTGTTGTATTGTTGGTCATTATTTCAGCACGACAAGACTGCTTTAGACTGATCAAGGATCCAAAAGCACCATCTTTAGATTCACTAAGAATGCACCCGCACATTTGTATGGAGTTTTGTTCATATAAGCAAAACAGATACGCTGCACTATCTGTAAGTTAGTAATCTAGTTCAATTAAAGGTGCCCTCGCACCATAGCGTTTACTAGATACGTATGGTTGCTAATAATGATAGTTACGTTCGAAATTCATGGCCGCTATTCTTAACTGCAACCATACTCTGGCAATAGCTAGGGCCCTTTCTGTTTTTACTTCACTATTTTTAAGACAATCGTCGTCAAAATACTGTCGTTTTAAAACCTAAATCATGCGATTCAACCAGACCCAGATATTATCAACATCAGTTTACCTAATTATCAACACCACTCTACCTCATTTCCAACATCACTTTACTACGTTATCAACATCTTTCTACCTCATTATCAACAAAACTCTATCTCATTATCAACAAAACTCTATCTCATTATCAACATCAGTCTATATTTCATTAACAACATCACTTTACAACGTTATCAACATCACTCAAAATCTCATTATCAACAAAACTCTATCTCATTATCAACATCACTCTTTCAAGAACACATTCTTTCCTTTTGATTTCAGAAAGGAACATTTTGTCAGTGCCTTAACTTTGGAAATGGGTATTTTGCTCCAGCCAAAGACAAATGTTCTAAATTGTGCCGTGGAGATAGGAGATATAACTGTGGAGGGGAAAACAACGTCTATCAAGTATATAGCTCCGGTAAATTTCAAATTTAAATTTTCAAAAAACTTCAGAAGTAATTTAAGTATACATGTAGTGTCACTTTAAAAGTAGTCCAAAGGTTTTATAGTTGATCATACGTCACACGACAATAGAGTAGTTTCCTTCGCCAGCTTCTTTTATTCATGTACGTAGTTTACTTACCAGACTTCTGGTATTCATTTTGATAAGTAATAAGGGTAGCTTAAATATTGATTTGGTACGTCAAATTGTTATGAACGACTTCTGTACCTTTGCAGGATACTTGTCCAGTCAGAAAAAAAACAGTGATATAAGATTTGATGACTTGTCATGGTCAAGACCGGATAGAAGAGGTAAAAATGGAATAATGATCATATTCACCTTGTGCTTGTGGATATACAAAACATGTCTAATGTTCTTGGTATTGTACTTGTATTATGGTATCTGATTGAACCACCCCAGAATAATGAATATTACATAATTTCAGACAAAACGAACAATATTCAGGTAGGGGTAAACCAAATGAAGACAGAAATAGAAAGTGGCCTTTCTTGCTTGATACATAAGCTTACTTGGGGGGATTGTTGAATACTATTTACGTATATTCCAAGCCCAAATCGGTCCAGGAAAAATGGTGATTGCTGCCCTGTAAGAATAACCGACGATAGTACGATACTGCTGACAAATATTTTTTTCATTTAGTGTTACCGACTTTGAACGTACCTATCTATTGTGTTTTCTGAGAAATTTAAACTTTTATATATATTTTAAATTCATTTCAGACCCCGAAGATTATGAATTTTTGAATATAAACAAAGGAGGTGGATATAATGGCAATGGCAGAAGGAAAAGAAAAAAGAAAAGGAAAGGCAGAAGGAAAGAAAATGGCAGGAAAGAAAATGACAGTAGGTCAAAGGAAAGCAGAAAGAAAATTTATGGCAGAATTAGAGGTAATGGCAGGAGTACAGATAATGACAGAAATAGCGATAATGGAATAATTCAAGCTAACACCAGAAGTGGAGTTAATGACAGAAGTGGAGATGATGGAATTCAAGTTAATGTCAGAAGTAAAGTTAACAGAAAAAGTAAAGATAATAATAGAAATAGAGACAATGGCATAATTCAAGCTAATACCAGAACAAGAGTTAATGACAGAGGTAGAGTTAATGCCAGAAGTAGAGATGATGCCAGAAGTAGAAATGATGCCAGAAGTAGAGATAATGCCAGAAGTAGAGTTAATGACAAAAGGAATGAAAAAGACGTGAAGAGCGACAAGGACAAAAAGAAAGATAAAGATGGGGATTTAGCCAAGAAACGTAAGGGCATTTCAGTTAGTAAATATAATGGTATACATCACAGCGAGTATTATTCCATTAATCCTTGTTACATTTCAATCAATGCCCATTCCTTGTTCTTATTTCAATCAGTCGTTTTCTTGTTCCCATATCAATCAGTGTCCTTTACTTGTTCCCATTTCAATCAATGTCCTTTACTTGTTCCCATTCCAATCAATGTCCTAGCCTTGTTCTCATTTCAATCAGTGTCCTTTACTTGTTCCCATTTCAATCAATGTCCTTTACTTGTTCTCATTTCAATCAATGTCCTTAACTTGTTCCTATTTCAATCAATGTCCTTTACTTGTTCCTATTTCAATCAATGTCCTTTACTTGTTCTCATTTCAATCAATGTCCTTTACTTGTTCTCATTTCAATCAGTGTCCTTAACTTGTTCCTATTTCAATCAATGTCCTTTACTTGTTCTCAGTTCAATCAATGTCCTTACTTGTTCTCATTTCATTCAATGTCCTTTACTTGTTGCCGTTTCATTTATTGTCCTTTACTTGTTCCCGTTTCAATCATTGTCCTTTCTTTGTTCCCGTTTCAATTAATATCCTTAACTTGCTCCTGTTTCAATTAATGTCCTTTACTTGTTCCCATTCCAATCAATGTCCTATCCTTGTTCCCGTTTCAATTAATGTCCTATCCTTGTTCCCGTTTCAATTAATGTCCTTTACATGTTCTTGTTTGAATTAATGTCCTTTACTTGTTCTCATTTCAATCAATGTCCTTTACATGTTCTCATTTCAATCAATGTCCTTTACTTGTTGCCGTTTCAATCAATGTCCTGTCCTTGTTCCCGTTTCAATCAATGTCCTTTACTTGTTCTCATTTCAATCAATGTCCTTTACTTGTTGCCGTTTCAATTATTGTCCTTTACTTGTTCCCATTTCAATCATTGTCCTTTCTTTGTTCCCGTTTCAATTAATGTCCTTTCTTTGTTCCCGTTTCAATTAATGTCCTTAACTTGCTCCCGTTTCAATTAATGTCCTTTACTTGTTCCCATTCCAATCAATGTCCTATTCTTGTTCCCGTTTCAATTAATGTCCTATCCTTGTTCCCGTTTCAATTAATGTCCTTTACATGTTCCTGTTTCAATTAATGTCCTATCCTTGTTCCCGTTTCAATTAATGTCCTTTACATGTTCTTGTTTGAATTAATGTCCTTTACTTGTTCTCATTTCAATTAATGTCCTATCCTTGTTCTCGTTTCAATTAATGTCCTATCCTTGTTCCCGTTTCAATTGATGTCCTATCCTTGTTCCCGTTTCAATTAATGTCCTTTACTTGTTCTCATTTCAGTCAATGTCCTTGTTTCCGTTTCAATCATTGCCGTTTATTGTTACTATTCCAATCAATGTCCTTTACTTGTTCCTATTTTACTCAATGTCCTTTTCCTTTACTTGTTCCCGTTTCAATTAACGTCCCTTACTTATTTCTATTTCAATTAACGTCCCTTACTTATTTCTATTTCAATTAACGTCCCTTACTTATTTCTATTTCAATTAATGCCCCTTACTTATTTCATTTCAATTAACCTCCCTTACTTATTTCTATTTCAATTAACGTCCCTTACTTATTTCTATTTCAATTAACGCACTGAATTCGTTTAAATACACCCAGCTATAAGGTTGTTCTTAATTTTTCTTTATTTTTCATTTACAGAACATAATAAGGACAAGAAAAAAGGAAAAAAGGTGGACAAGAAATATATCATAATAGGCGTTATTGGTGCTGTAATTCTAATCGCTATTATTGTAACTTATGTGTAAGTATTACATTTTGTTTCGAAAAGGACGAGCTACATAGTGGAAAGGGAAAGCCATTTTAAAACCATCTTGAAACTAACTAACAATTTGTCGTACATGTTGGGTCAACAACTTGCATCAACTTAACTTCGTGTACAGACTAAATGCTTATTTGTGGTCCGTTAATATAAGTTACTTGCCTTTAACTGGTTTTTACTGATTTTTTCAGGAATGATCAATCGTCTGAGCAAAAGAAAATGGCAGAGAGAAAAAGGGTAACAATATGTTTGTTGTTTTAAATATTCACTAAGTGCATCGGAATACTGTATATAAGTGGGTTTTTTTTCGAGTTAGTTGTTTGGAGGATAATTAGTTTGTTAGACCAGATGATGAAACGAATGAAATTTGAAAGAGAATACATGTAGTAGATATTTTCTGCCACTCGTATGTCGGGATGGCACTTGTCATGCATCGCTGTATTTTCATCCAGAAAATCTCCAGTTCTGTTTATTTTAAATTGCAGAATTTCATATAAACTTTTCTGTTTAGAGTACTAGAGTGGGAGTAAAATATATTCTACACTGTCTATATATTGTATATTGATATAGAGTGTGTCTTAATACAAATTTTAAACTTTATAATATGGTGAACAACTTTTGAAAATCGTTTACTTCCCATATTAATGTCAAATAAAAAAAAAACAAGAATTTATAATTCGTACAAAAATTGATATACTTTTGTACCAAACATGTTTTTATTTTTCAACGAATCTTGTGCATTCCCCCTCTTTGAAATGTAAATATACGATTGAAGAATTTTTCATCAATTACAGAAGATGGAGGAAAAAAAGGCCCGGGAACAAGAAGGTGATGAGTGATGAGGTTCTCTGAAAGATGGCTCAATCAAGTATCGGGATGTCCAAATTGGAACAAACAAACTTTGTGTGACCAATATGCTAATCTGTCCGATCTAAAAAAGGTTCTTCCATGGCCGAGCTGAATCAATAGATCACTTGAATGTCGCTTAAATAAGTAGCTCTTTGGTCACTATATGACTTCTACTGCCAGCTCTTTTTTGATTAAAAAAAGGATTTTTTATTTTTTTATATTCTTGTAAAAATTGTTGATAAAGAAATTATTCAAATAATCTGCCTTATTTTATAGAGAATTTACCAGAAAATATATGTTTAGTTTTGTCTGTGACAAGTTGTATAATATATCTAGTTATTATGGTGTGATGAATAGTAATGCACTGATTTACTGGTGTGAATATTATAATATAGAAAATAATATTTTATTCGCTCCTCAAGACTGAGATATATGGCTGTATAAAACGTTCTTTGATGTTAATTTTAGATTATTCTTACATGATTGGTTTATAGGCAGCAGAGATTGATTGATCACAAAGTAAACCAGTGCGTATGAATAATGAATTGTGGATATATGTCCAGGATGAAAATCTCTTTGGT